ATCTTAATTCATATGTGCTATGAGTGCATGTAAACTTTAGAAACTTGATATTCCCTATTCTAACGATTTTAGAAATCTTAAAATGATTAAGTCTGTAACTTTGAGTATATCTATACTTGACATAAAAATGTACATTTTTTTCTTCTAAGTCAAAATTGTGGCGAATCTGTTAATTACAAATTAAAACAAAATCCTTACCCAAATCTCAAAAAAAAAAAAAAAAAAAAAAAGAAATAGTGTTGTAACACAGCTTGGCTCTAGTTAATGTATAAGACATAAACAATGAAAAAAGCGAACAAAGCATTATTTACAGAAATAGATTCTTGAATCAATTAATAGAAATTAGAGCAGGTTTCACGAACACAAATGCGTGGTTAAACAGTTTTATTGAAGGGTGTCACGTGTGGCCATTCATGAAATCTTTGTTTACCAATATGCTCGAGAATTGCAGGATATTGCGAGGTAAGTTCAGTACCAAATTAAAGAGACTTTCCTAAGAAAGCTGTTTTTCAACACACATCAACCATAGTTTCAACTTTAATCGCTTGTCTTCTTATGTCTTCTTATGATTTCTGAAATTTCTCTCCATACACTGTTTATTTTTGCGAGCAGAAGCAGACTACTACTGCATTATGTTAAATATTACAAATCATCGACAATAAAGTCATGGAGTGCAATATGGTTGTAAAATTTAAATTTGAAATTTCTCTCTTGCAAGTTCTGATTTAATCATTGGTAATATGATTCATTAGACTAAACTAAATGAACTAAATGTTATGCGTAAATTGCATATAGAAATGTATTCTTTTAATCACCAGTTAGGATGTGGATTACAGGTCTATAGGAATTGTATTTGTGTTGCATGCAAAATCTTTTCGTCTTTTTAGTTATGAATTTACAGTATAAAATGGCGATATATTGACTCTTGTATGAGTAGTCGAGTTTCTTAAGGGAAAGATGTACATCACTCTCAATTAAGGACCCCGGATAATCAAGGATGTTAAACATGCCACACTTAAGCACGAAACCATGGTTCTATTCAACGACCGGACATTGACGTTGCGGAAGAAATATTAGCCCGTATGAAGATTTATTTTAGATTTCTTCGATCTGTAAGAATAGAAAAGAGTGAAATAAACGCCAGTTTCTCTCAGACTACGTCAACGTAATATACCGCTGAAATTGGCCGTCCCGGCAAAAAATAACTGATGGCACCTGCTACAAAAACCATCTGAAACCAGACTTTACGGATTTAGACCAATTGTCTGATAAGATTAACGGACAGAAAGATGGTACTATTTTTCTTTTCCTGTTAAAACTTAAAGCTTTAAAAAAAATTACGATGCAAATTAGAAACCTTTTAACACAGATTAAATGAAAGAACAAAACGCTAGTAATAAATGTTTCTCCTTTTAATTAGCTTAGTTATCAGTTAAATGTATTCTACTACGTGTATTCCGAGCTTTCAAGCCAAATTCCTCTTTACTAACAAGCTTCAAACCTCGAATGTTCATTATAAAAACCTTAATTCTTTGAAGTGAAACGGCATTAAAAAGTAGTGTGCTAGGGAGAAATTTTAACATTCGAACGTTCACAAATGAAGAAACACTGCCGACCAAATATACTAGTAAACGTATCCTTTTTACTTTTAAATTTCCCTGCAATTGCAGTCATAACAATGACACATTTTAAAATGATTGTTTGTGATGTTAAATTCAATTTAAATCACAGAAAAATTATAAAAGAGATATTCAGTTGCAATTCGATGCGAACGAAAGGAAAGTTGCATGGTTTACAAATTGTTCGCCGTTGTAACAACACACTATTGAGTCATGTGCTTTCAATGCTCATAAAAGAAATGTGGCATCTCTCCTATTTTAAGACCACCAGGTTTTACACAGTGTGTCTATTGTTCCCATAAAACTTTTTCTGAATTTCTGCATTTCAAAGTAAATATGTAACTGCAGTAAATAGGTCATTTTTATCATAAATTTTCTGTACTCTGGTAAAGAGTGAAGATATTGCAGATGTTTTAAAACGTGTCGTCGATGCAAAAAATAAAAGGCATTTTGTAAGTTTTTACAAAAATCAAAAAAAGTTTTAATGGATTTGAAACAAGTTAAGAAGTGCTTTGTTGTTAATGCATGTTGAGAACGTTAATTTGATTCCATTTAATGCAGCATGTTTTACATTTGTAATTTGCTTACAATTCTAGGGTTTATCGTCGATAGCTGAGAAAAGGAATTTCCCCTTCCTCTGAAATATGAAGTATTTTCATGCAGAGCAAAAATAATCAAGGTTTAAGGAATGAATGGATTAATAATGACTTAGTCAGGATGAAGTGATAGGCTTCTGAAAGTCAATCAAATAAATATGTATTTTAGTTTTATATTCAAATTACCGGTATCTTTTTTCCCCTCCCTATCATATCATCTGTATTCAAATTCATTTTACAAAGTTATTGTAAGCTATACATAAGATATTGAATTCTTCCAATAAAATATTTTAGCCTTAGTCAAGTCGTTGCTTCTTTTCATCTAGATTTTGTATACACGCAGAAAATGAATAAAAAGAAAAATCTCCCGACTTTCGCTCAGAAGTCTATATCATCATATGTTTCCTTTGGGATGAAAGATACACTGAATGGTTACCATATGTAGTTCAATTCTCATCGGCCTGCGGGTATTTAGATCGGGGTCGAGATACCCTTATGTGAATTCCAGAAAGCCTCACGTAAACGGTAGAGCTGATACATAGATCTCATGCTTCCCAGTGAGACACAAGTAGGGCTTGTATCAATCTTCAGGTCGGTTCATCTAAACTTCTCAACCCCCCTCGTGTGTTTAATAATAATTGAATGCACTTTGCACACAAGTAAGAATATGATACGAAATCTAATCGTATACAACATACATGTTTGTCATTGAACTTTTGAAAACCTGTAAGACGTGCTACAAAATCTATCTGTCCCTTAAATACATGTATCTCTTGCCTTTCATTGCAATCAGCAATTGTCCGTTATAATAGTTATATCCATTTATTTTAAAAGATTCTCCAGATATCTCCAGATATCTCGTTATTAGTGGTACCACAAAAACCTCACACGTACATGCAATACAAACCACAGCATGTGCTCTTCACAAGAAATATAGAATGTTTAGATTCAAAGATTCAAATACAATTTGCACAAAGTCAATCAGTCTATCACATTGAGGGATTGAAGAGCCACTCAACAGGCAGAATTTATAATATCTATATTGGTTCCGTACTCTCGGTTGTCTTACATGGCCAGAAGTAATAAATATTGATATTGAACATTGGTCGTATTGGTTTCTTTTTACAGCTTTCTGGTATATAATTCTTATACATAAGATAAACAATTATCTTAGAGAAGTGAACAGTGTATTAGAATATTCTTCTCGACATAAGATGCCAATGTGGTAGTAAACCTGGCGAACTTTTTTTGGATATATATATTTACATTATATATCACTGACCTCTAAAATATACTCATTGTGATCTTTCATGTGACCTGAGGGAAATTTTTCAATGGAATTTACAATATAGGAATATTTAAATAATTTATAGGTCAATAACAAAGTAATCTAGATCACTGGCACAAATATTTTAATACGGTTTATCTAATGGCAAATTCACTTCGTACTTCCATTCAATATCTGCGTAATTGCCACAGATCGAAATTTATCTATCTGACATCTGGTTTGAATGGGAGAAATAAGAAGTTAGTTTTCAGTCTTCTATTAGAGTTTCAAGTATACTTTTATCACAAATGCTTATCAAATATTTAGCTTAAATAAATGTAATATTATCACCTCTACAGCGGCTAGTTATGATACAGCAAAATAAATATTGTAGATAATTTACAAATATTCCGTTTTCCTACGCATAATTTCTTACCCTCACAGAAAAGATTTTATGAAAATATCTTTCATGATCTTCTCCATAAGCAAAGATAAAGATTGGAATATTTTAGCTCAAGTAACTTTGAAGATTTTAGAAGTGCACTCATTCATCACATGTATCAGGAATGATTGATCTTAGTTGCAAAAAAGACGAAAGATAATTTTTGCATACAACATGTAAAAAAAGAAATAAATTAATGTCTTTAAATGAACAATTAACTTCTGATTTCATCGAAGGAAAACGGTGAACATTTTGAAATTAATTAATATTACATATATACAAACTTCAACAGATCTCAGTTCATTAGACATGAGCATTAATTAATAATCTTCTCCAGGAGTAAGCTGGAGTTGCATCTTTTTTGCATTCAGAAACTTTGAAGTTTATTCCAGAATGCAATCTATCGTGTGTTTTGCTGTAATTAGCCATGAGCCGACAATTTTTCAACATTAAAACCTAGGTACAAAGAGAGAAAGCTTTCCGTTAACAAGTTATCTACGGAATGGGTAAAGAAGTAATCTCTTATATCATGACAGAATCCCGTTTAAAATAAAAAGTTCAAGAACATGTTTAGCTTCTGGTACATGTAAACGTAAACTTAAATAAAATATTGGTGGTCTTGAATAAACTGAACGTGTTGTATATATTGGTATTGAGATTTTAGTCATACTGCTTTGATAAAGAAAGCTTAATTAATATTATTACTTTATTACTTCTATTGTTCGGAGAAGTTCTTAGAAGATCAGGCAACAAAAAATATTAGTGCTGATAGATGAATGCAGTATTTCAAGCTTTATGCGATTCGTGTTCCCTCTAAATAAAGATCCTAGTTCTCAAATACATTTATAGGTATTAAACATCCTAGCTTTGGTGCAAAACAATGAACTTTTCTTCTTGGTAGACTTTGATCTGCAGTTATGAGGAAAACGTTAGGAAACTTACTCTAACTTAACGATTTTCCTTTAAAGTTTTTCTACCATGCAAGAAATGTTACAGTAGCAATCATTACACATGAAACGCAGAAAAATAAAGCAACAATTCATATAAAAATGATAACGAGGACTTGTTTAACTTACCTTGAAAAGTCTTTGAGAGACTTCGAATTGCTTCCAGTTACAATTCTGTTGCAAACAAACAAACAGACCAACACTCTAACCAAAGCCATTTTTAAGCATGTATTAAAGAAGACGTATGGCAAATTTGCACTCAGTTATTTCTTCCTGTAGAGTTCACTAATGTAAGAGTTTAACAACCAGTGCACTAATTATCCCTCTGATTTCTGAATTATATGACGTATTTTTATCTTTGGTTGTACCAGGAATAAACTGCAGTGATCTGACACCATCATCAAACACTTCATCACGTGGCATCAACAGGCACAAAATTGATGACGTATTGTACAGTCCTTTGTTATTACATCAGATTTCAGGTGCAAAAATTGAAAATAAGTGCACAATGCAGGACTAAATTAAAACCCCCTGTCGAAAGACGAACTGCCTGGATGCCAGTTACCAGCGTTTACACGGGCCTTCTCATAGCAATCGATTCCTGTAACCAAATTTCTAATATTTGCAAATCTATGCACCTTGGAAACATTCAGCTTCCACCACTAGTCAGTCAATAAACCTCGGACGCTGGCGTATATAGGGAAACGAGTAAACACTCCGTATGCTAACGTCTTTATGGGAGCAGTCTTGCTGTATAATACAACACAGCGGGATACCGATAAAAAACCAAAGCAATTGTGTAAAGTTTGACAAATTAACGCTTATAACAGAAAGATACTATATCCTGGCATAACTACTCGGAACGTACAATCAGGCTTTGGCCTTTGGTGGTTTTGTAAGGATCAGATAGGGATATTCTGATACGTAAGAGCATCGTATTTTTAACTTGTACAAACTATCTATTCTCGTTTCCCTATGATGGGATCACAGAGAAACGAAAGGGGGAAAAAGCAGAACACAGATGAGTTTATTTCATGATTTTAGAATTTAATTAAATTTCGTGTAATTCTTGAGGTAAGTCATGTATCAGGTGACTCATCAGATGCAGGTTGGGTTAAATGAAGTTAACATCGTAGCTTAAAGGAGAAAGAAGAACGTGTATACGATAGTTATCAGATTCTTTGGGTGTGATCTCAAGCAATCGTTTGACGGAATCTCTTAAAGCTGAAGATCCTTGATGAAGGATTACGCAGACTTTTATATCGGATCTCTCTGAATCTTTCACTGCTGTTATTCTAAGCCTGATAATTGTTGAAACCATCTGTTGAACATTAAAAACTTCATACCGAAGACTTTATGTCGGATGTGACGTCATATTGGTGACTTCATGACATGACACATACTTAAGACTATGATTCTAGATTTAAAATATCTTTCCCATGCATTCCCATTAGAATTTGAAAATGCTTTACACTTCAAAAAGTCTATGCTAATAAAAAGAAACAGTTATCAATACTCTTGCCTAAGTAAGATTTAAGACAAATTACTCTGGATTATTATGCAGATTTAGTTACATATCCAGAATCAAAATCCACAGGCATAAGTAAATCGTTCGCACTGGGAGATCAACGAATAACAGTTCAGAACATATTAGAAATCCAAATTATAATCCCTTTTTTACAATCATTTTACCGATTTCAAAATATAATACATTCAGCATTTCATTGGGTCACAGGACATAGCCATCACCGTCTGCATCGCAAGAACAATGTTCTCCAACGTACGATCTTGCAGTCATTTTATGTTTAGTTTAGACCTAAGCTTTAAAAAAATGAAAACAAGGAACACAATTGTAAAGTCTTTTTTATTCGTGATGAATATATGCTGTCTCAATATTCTCAACTTTTGACAACAATAAAAAATATGTTTGTTTAAGCTCTGTTTCATGATGACAATGATCCAATGAACTGTTGCCAGTATAATTTTATTTTTCAAAACTGCTTTTGGACAATCATATTGAAACTATTATGATAAGTCTAAATATTATCACAGTGAAAGGAACTAAAATAATTATTATGCTCTGAAATCAACTAGATCTATTTCATTCTATGCATACAGAATGATTAAATATATCCGTAAATGTAAAAACTAATAAATATTTTGGTTTATGAAATTTGCAATGAGATAAAAACAATTAGGATTTTATTATTTAAATAGATAAATATCAATACATGTATGTATACTAGTTTTTCCTCTGAAAAAAAAGGTGGGATTTGTTAAAAAAAAAAAAAACTCCCAACGGTGACCCAACTATATTTTGATTTCTTTTATATTTGAACATTCAGAATGGAATATTTAGAAGTCTATTACTATGTCATTTATTGCGATGATAACTTGTTGTAAAATGTTTCTGTTAAGGTATCATATGCTATAGAAAGAGAGATATTATGAAAATACTACATGAACCATTGTAGAATGGTTTCAGATGCCAGTATCCTATAACCGGAAAAATTTATGTATCATACATACATGTAATTGAGCAAAGAAAGTGAGTAACTATCAATATGATGAAGTTCCCTTTTTAGCCAATTGTTTTGGCTAAAGACGAATCATAATTTCTATGGAAAGCATATCTATCCTCTCTTTTTCTTCTTTGAATAATAACGACAGCAATGACGACAATGATTATGAGAATTATAACAACAGAAGCGACGACTCCAGCGAGGGAGGAAGTACCGAGATCAGAGGTCTTCGCTGTTGAATCTGAAAGTAAGTCAATTTAAATTTATAAGTGTCTGTTAATCTAAATGATGAAGAAATTTAAATGCTGATTTTACTGTGACCACTGTGGGACTAAACGCTCTATATGTAACAGTAATTAACATTCACAGTTTAAAAGATAAAAAAAAACATTAAAAAGGTGTTTTCTGTTTACCTTGATGACACGATGCAGTGACGCTTGGTACCCATTCTAGAGAGGTACCCGCATTAGTACAGGTGTACTTAGTATGTCCATGCAGTGTTCCTTCTCTACATCCAGTGATCTTGACCGTGTTTCCCAATGTATAGTTAACGTTAGACTTAGTACTTCTAGGTACACTAAGCAAACCACAGGAATGCACTAAGGTAAAGAATGTTTAAAAATTATTCACAAGAAAAAAAATCATTTGAAAATAAAAAAAACAAGATGTATTTGTGAAACAATGATGCCCGCGTATGGCATCTTATAGCAAAGGTTAAACTTTCTCAAATGCAAATCAAATATGTTGGTACCCAAAGTAAGGTCTTGTCTCGAGGAATATACCTGTGAAATATGAAAGCCCTGCCAGCAGCCATTGGATAGATATGGAAAAGGTTAAAGTTTTTCAAAAGTAAGTCAAACATCAAGGTCAAGGTCAAATGGTCAAAATTAATGGTGCCTTAGGAAAGGCCTTCTCACAAGAAATACAAAGAAATCCAAGGTCAAGGTCAATGGATTACAATTGTTGGTATCCAAAGGAAGGTCTTGTCACAAGGAAAAAACATGTCAAATATGAAAGCCCTAGCAACAACTTTCCAAAAGTTGTGTCCAAGGTTAAAGTTTTCCAAAAGTAGGTCAAACTCCAAGATCAAAGGGTATCCAATGGAAGATCTTGTCACAAGGATTACATATGTGAAGTATGAAAGCCCTAGCACAAACGGTTCAAAGGTTATGGCCAAGGTTATAGTTTTTCAAAAGTAGGTCAAACTCCAAGGTCAAGCTCAAAGAATCAAAGTTGTTGGATTCTAAAGGAAGTTTTTGTCACAAGGATTACATATATGAAATATGAAAGCCATAGAAACAACTGTTCAAAAGTTATGGCCAAGGTTAAAGTTTTTAAAAAGTAGGTCAAACGTAAAGGTCAAAGTTGTTGGTATCCAAAGGAAGGTTTTGTCACAAGGATTACATATGTGAAATGTGAAAGCCCTAGCACCAACCGTTCAAAAGTTATGGCTAATGTTAAAGTTTTTCAAAAGTAGGTCAAACTCCAAGGTCAAGGTCAAATATGGTGGTATCCAAAGAAAGGTCTTGTGACAAGGAAAACACGTGTGAAGTATGAAAGCCCTAGCACCAATTGTTCAAAAGTTATGGCCAAGGTTAAAGTTGGGGAAAATTTTGCAAAACTGGGTCAAACGCCAAGGTCAAGGTCAAAATGTCAAATATGGTGGTACCCAAAGAAAGGTCTTGTCACATCGAATACACATGTGAAATATGAAAGCCAAAGCTCCAACCAATCAAAAGTTATGGGCAATGTAAAAGTTTTTGCGGACAAACAGACAGACAGATGGACAGACAGGGCAAAAACTATATATCCCCGAATCTTCGATACGGGGGCATAAAAACCGGTTAACTGGAATTTTATATACCTTTAGAAAATGCTGCCATGCTTGCAGAGTATCTCTGACCCGTCATCCATGTCCGTCGTGCTTTTTGGTCATCTTCAGTTGTAAACAAATCATACAGGCATCGCACATCCCCATGACAGATTTCGGATGTAAAATTTCGGAGAACTTTTGGACATTTAATATCTGATTTATCATTTTCTACCCTGTATGGTATTATTTGTTTTAATGTGTCGTTGATATACCCTATAATATAGGAATTAAATATGATGTAAATATTCCAAAAGATTTAACGGTATCTAACTATTAATAATTAGTGCTCATCGGAAGTCCAAATTATCTCTACTTCAAGCACTCACATTGCAATATCCAGGAAAATTGAATATCGTAATTCGCATCACTTCCGTTGACAGACCCTCTAGCTGAATCTTTCGAACCTTTCAGCAATCCTTGCGATTTCTCCTATAAAATCAATCAAGTGTGTTACTAATATAAAGTCACATGTATGCATTGTAATATTATCCAAATCCAGTTCAATAGAAATACATGTAAATTACTGTAAGTGCTGGAAGTGATGTCACAGTGACGTGTAAGAAACCTGTTGACCCAGACACCAGGACACCCACGCCATGTTTGGAAAGAATGGTAAAGTTAGACTGTACCGAATCCTCGTCATTGTTTACCACTGTCAACTCTGCAAAGTGAAACTACTATTCAACAAATCAAACATTAACATCTTTACCGCATTATTTGCACTGTCTAATTAAATACAATTTGAAATAAAAAAAAAGAATGATTGTTTTATTGATTGGTACGATTTCAAGACTCAATTTATGTTCCATAACTTATTTAAATATATTTAACCGATAGGACTTTACTAAAAATCTGTTAAGTAATTTGAAATTAAAAAGTGGCCTCTTCCACTAAACTTCATTAAATTGCACATGGATGTTAAAAAAGACACCATAAATGTTATAATCGGAAGACCATAATGTCAATGTGTGTCATTGTACCATCTCACAAATTATATCATGCGTAAAATTATATTAAGTAATTAAAATGGCCATCCAGTCATGACGTGTAATTTCATAGATATAATGATATACAAATGTATATACACGTATACTGTAATTCTTAATCATACGAATCCACTTCACTACACACAGTTTTTAAATTAGAGATAAAATTAATGAATTTCCTACATATATATCTTACCGTTAAAATCCTGCCATTTATTGTCTTCCCTGTCAAAAAACTGGTACTCATTGTTGACAGTGACGTCAAGTATGCGCTCTGATTGGTGGTTATTTTTAAGATGCACACTTTCCCGGAATCCTCCAGATTTTAATTTGATTATCACAGTTTCATTTTTCACTTTTACTCCTACAGAGGTGAGTACTTTTGACTTTATTGAAGGTTGGGACTGAGAATTTTCGTGGAATCGACCATGGACCGTCATTTGTGAGTCTTGATATAAATGGTAGTCTCCCTCTTCACATACCAAGCCAGTTTGTCCATCAAACGTAATAATGTGGGACTGTCCAAACACCATTGCTGTCGAACAAAGTTAAGAATTTAAAATTGAAAGTAGATCAATCTGAGTTTTGTAGATATAAATGCATTCTACCAATAATTAGAAGATCAAGGAAATGATATAGAAAGTTGTATTGGACTATCAGTAACACAGATACTCTAGATGAAATAACTGGTCTTTTAAGTTTTGATAAGCCTGGGTGTAGACTTGAATTAGTTTGATGCATTCATTTTAACATTTCTTTTGAAATTTTCAAATTGTCTCGAAACATCAAACAAAACATATTTACATACATGTATATATTCTATTTTAAGTAACTATGGAGCATCTTTCTTTGAAACTAGCTTATCTATTAAAAAGATAGGTGAGCAAGCGCTGTAGCCATCATAAAACACAGAAGTAGATATCTGAATATTGGTTAAAAGTTGCTGAGTCGATTTATTAATAACAGAAAGGCACAGTGGTGCACTGGGATGGTGTTGGGAGTGGAGTGGGTCAATTTCAGAATGGTGAATCTGGAGTGGGCTTCACATCGACAATGGCATAACTCATTACGTGTAAATGTGTCTTAAGCATTCTGTAGTCAGGTGCGGATCCAAGATTTTTTTTTTCCGGGAAGGGGGGGGGGGGGTCCACCCCAGTCAAAATATTTCCAATCCAGAAATAATTTCTGGACAAGCAAGAAAAAAGTCCGCTCCCTAACGCGTAAAATAAAATCGCGGTGGTTGTGGATCATGAGGGGTCCACATTTTCGGGGGGTGGGGTCCAAAGTCATTTTTTATTTGCTTCAGTATATACTTTTATTAACTCTGCAAATTCCGGGGGGGGGGGGTCTAAACCCCCCTCCACTCTCTAGATCCGCGCATGTTAGTATACTGTAATTTCAAATTTAAGGTCAAAAATTTGAAATCAGTAGAACCAATGAGCTAGCACTTAGCTTAAAATATTCCATTGTGGTACTCTTTTGTAGCAATCGCATCTTCTCGGCAAACTCGGAAAACATATCAGAAGTTGTTTTCCGAGCTTACCGGAAAGATCCAGGAAGGTAGTTCAGAAAAGCTAGGTATTTATTGTAGTTCTAGAAATAACTGATCTCTACAGTCTTGGCATTATAAGACCTAAGCTACTGTTACTTTTTGTAAAAGTATGTACAGGTTAGACAACAAAACACGAAACTTCAGAACATATACATTTTCAAATGATAAAACGAAATTGACATGGTACAGTTTATCCACAGTTGTATTCCCAGAATGCCCTACCGTGAAGTCAAGCATGCGTATTCCAGTAAAAAAGAATAACGTAGTAAAAACTGTTGCAACCCCTCGAGAGCGCTAGCAATAAAAAAAAAATATCGTATCGTGTACTATGCACATATATATAATTTAATTATATAAATACTGCAATCAGCTACCCCAGTTCTCTCATTACTTACTTTGATATTTATGTATGTTTCTTCGTGCCCCCAACATTTATAATTAAGAGAATTTTATAACATCCATGGGGAAAGTCTAAATGTAGTATAAATACTTTTGCCTTTTATAAAAAAAAAAAAAGGAATCAAACTGTATGCACCATATACCTTGTTGTGGAGGTTTATATGTTTTACAATCTGTCGTAGGCCTAACATCCATGTAAAAGTCACAGTCTTTGTAATTTGCCCAAATACAACAGTAAAAGAATGTCATGACATCAGCGAGACCATGCGAAAGAGAAGGAACGGATCCAGAGGTACCGTATGGAATCGCTCCCCAGTCATGATATCTGTCCGGAGTGCTCCCTTGAAAGGTATCTTCAGAATACCTCAAAAGACCGTCGGCCCCATAGCAGCACTGGTTTCCCGCCTTTTCTAAACTTCACAAAAACACATAGTAATGGAATACCTTAGAACATTCTGAGAAAGGAAAGATAACTTCAAAATCTTCATCGGAAAATTTTGTTATCTCCTCAAACATAAAATTTGTTAAAATATTTCTTCTTACTATTCGATCAAACATTACGCATTTTATTTTGCTAATGTAAAAAGTATTTATACGCAAAATTACTTTTTCATCTATATTTAGCAACAGCAAAGATAGCATTCTTTGCCAAAGTTGAATGTTTATTCATGAAGTGAGCATGTGCTTACTTATGGTACCAACGCTCCTTACACAGTGTACAGCACCCTTATGAAAAGCACAGGTCGGTGTTTTGCTGAACATATTACAAGACAAGTCAGTCTGCCATCGTCCCATGTCCAAAAGTGCTTGTTGGAGCGAACAAGGACACGGGTCAAGGGCTTCTATCCACTGCATGTCCTTGACCTCTTTTTTGTACCAGTTCATGCATTTTTCATGCAACCATTGAGGTCCATGAACTTTCTTCAGATGTTTTCTCATTAGCCAACCAAATGGCATAGCACCGCTTGTCAGGGTCCTGTAAATTAGATACTCAGACGTACTAAAGTAACAAAATGCAACACCTACCCTGATATACTGAATGCAATAAAATGTATCGAATAGATTATTTTTGTAAGCCTAAACCGCCCCTCGAAATCCACTTGCCTGTAGAGGTTGGCATGTGTAATATTTTTGACTTTAACTGCAATGAATCCAGCCTCATATTCAGCGCATGTAACACCACAGGATATGTCATCAGAATTAAAGGTAGCTGATCCTTCTGATACAAGAACATCATCGACCAAGGGCAAATGAAAATCCCAGAATGCCTTTAAAAATGACTACCAGTATTCAAAATGTAATTCAAAACTTTAGTTCACGTTGTTCATTGAACTCAAAATGTAATATAATAATTTCTAACCTTTTCAGAGTATCCCACAATAAAAACGTCTGCGCGTGCGTCAGGATAAATACTGAGCTTTGTAGCATTCCAACGGACTGTAAGTTCTCCTGCTGACGTTCCGCCCCAGCCCGATCCCTCCAATTTCACGAAACGTTTTGTAAGCGTGGGATGAACTGAAATGAATTTTTTTCTTCTTGTTAAATTGATATACAATGATGCTAATGGGACGACTTTAAACATGTATAAAACCAAGGAACTTTACCTACGGTGATTGTTGTTGTGTACATAGTGGAGATATCATTAAGGGATATGCCCACTGTTACACGCCCCCTTGCAGTGAGAGGAGGTATCGTACATCTCGCCTTAATCTCGGACACACGGTAACAATCTCCTGTGCCATATGGGTTAGAAATATTACCCACTACAAGTTTGATTATGTCATTTTCATAAAAACATGGTCCTTGTACTTCAACAATATTGCCTCCAAACATGTCTAACACTCTGGGTGAGATAAACGCTTTCCCTGAAAAGATGCCAAATAAGACATGCTTTGCAATAAATATTATTTACTAATATATTCTATATTACATCCCTGGGATAGCTTCAATAGCATACCTTCCTTTTTATTTCTATTTTTATCACATCCCCCTTTAATAGGTCTCTCCGAATTAACAAGATAGAAGTTCCGACCAGTCAAACTCTCTGATGATGCTCCGAAGTCAAACCATCCTCTTCCATATCCAAAATTAAAACCTGACTAAAACACATGATTAAGTATAAAATAGTGCGCATGTGATTGTTATATATGTCATGGAAAATATAAAAGAACTACTTAAAATTGTTTTACCTGGAATGTTACATTATGCAATGGTGTTGTATCATTAAACTCCATTACGGCAAATGTTTGCTGACCATCCACGGCGAGGATGAGACTATGATTCGTAATCTGTAGCCAAAACAATGTCCAGGTAATTCATCAATACAGGGGATAGTTTAATACAAGTAGCACGAACATAGCAGTGAATGAAGATATAGAGGATAATCAATGTTTTGAAGTTGAATATGAAATTTATTTCAGGAGTGAGGCAGGATATTTTTTTAATATGTTCAAGAGAGAAATAAATTCCATATTCAACTACAAAACATTGCATTTTGTGTTCATTACATTTTCTTTGATTTTTCATTTGCCTCTCTCTCTTTTCCTAACGTAGTTTTTCCGCTTTTTTGATATTTTTTTTTCACACTGAAAAATACGTATACTACTTTGATATTTTGATGCTGTGAAAAAATATCACCTTTATTCAATACATGTAAATACTAGTAGATTACAGTATTTCAGTATTGAAAATTTAATGGAACCACTGTACATACCTGACACATCTCTCTGCTGTTACATGTTCTTTCTGTATCATACCAAGTCACCGAAACAGCAAAAATCAAGGAAACTGATTGGATCCCCACAAAGGACTCGGATATGACGTCACCAAGGTTATCCAGAAACTCCTGGCTTGATTTGTTTGAACTAAGATGGATATTGAATGACATGCTTGACGCAATTTGTGACTTTTTAATCATAATTGGAGCAATGAAGGGGTAGTCGTCAGATGATGTCCAAGGTTTCTGAGGATCTTTGTACATTCTGTCAGGATTGTACTTCACTCTCGAATCAAAAGCAAGTATTCCCTCTGGGTGAAGCTGTAGTGGTACGAATAGGTGTCAATTTTTGAAACATGAAGGCGTCTTTTTTTTTTTCGAAAAGAAATACCGGTATTTCAAAATTTTATATAAAGATTCGTACCAGGATATACATAAGTTTTTATCATAAGTGCCTCTCTGATAGGTAGAGAATTTCATAACCGTGCTTCTGTTGCATAATACAAGTATGTGTAATTCATGTTTACAATAAGGTAACAGTAAATTAATTTTTTGATTTACGTCCCCGGGCGGGTAGGTTTTCGGGCAAATGAGTTTAAAAAAACACAGTTTTGTCATATTTTTAACAATTTCTCCATGTATTTCACGGGAAATATTGTAATTTTTTAGGCTACAGTATTCTTAATCCTTGAGAGAAGAAAAAGGAATAAATCAAAACTCCTAAGTAAGAAAACAAAAAGTTAAAAAAGGTTAAGATGTTTTTTATCATATTTATGCCAATGTGTGATTTATAAATCAATATTGTCATGTATTCTTGTAATGTCTTGTGATTTGGTCGTACTGGAGAGACCTTTTTATAGAATCAAGGGACGTAAAACAAAATCTTCCTTTTCCTTACCCTTTTCTCTCTCCTCCACAGATTGAAAGAAGTTTAATAACTTTAATACATTTGACTAATCACTCTTCACTCTTGTATTAGATGTATTAGATAAATAAATAAATAGTCGTCACTTAAATTACAATCTTTGAATCGCATGAAAAAACTTACATATATAATATTGTAGTACTCTCCAAAGTATAGGACACTGGTATTTTCTGGAAGGATAATGTGCACAGTGGAATTTTCTACCAAAGTTCCGAATATCATGGTGAAACCTACACATTGATAACCATCAGGTAAAAAAAAATATACACAATGATTTTTTAATGATTTAAAAATAAATATTCGAGCAAGCAACTTAGACCTATCTGTTTTTATACGTACACGTCAAGGGTAGAGCAACCAAAGATAAGATGCCAGATCGAGAGGAAACGGATACCATATACATGATAATGGAGACAGTATTCCAATAAATCCAGTCCTCCTCCTGGTAATGTTATAAAATATAAGTTATTCGAAGTATCTGTAAATAATGGAAGTTCTAGTCTATTTAGACTGAATGAAAACAAAATGTGATTTAAAAAAAGAAAATAGAAGTCCTTTATTTAACAATGCAATGCATGCAAAAAGTGAATTCCAAATTTATCTTCATACCCTATAATGGTACTTACCAGCTAGGCAGAGGCGATATCCAGAAATGATTCATTCAAAGATGCGATCAACCCTGACCCTAGGTTACGTTGTGTAAACTGTTTAACCCTATCCCGAATCTCAGCTCCTCCGTATATTTTTGTTTGCTTTATATCATTTATAATGTACACAACACTTCAGTATCGCGCTAGTGTTAATTTAAATATTTGAATCAAATAAAAATTTACTGTCCGAAATGAAAATCTGACTAGACGATAGATACTACTTGATAGGTGTTAGGATGCCCCGTCATGCTTATACATGTTATTTGCCCTTAATGATTTTTAAAGCATGAATATGCTACATGAAAATGGAGACAAATCTGTTTTAACGAAACTTCCTAACATTGTGATGCAACCCTTTTCAAATACTACATTGATGAATGATGCATCTCAGTTACTAAAGTTTATCAAATTAAGCGTTTTACGTGTTTTGCTGGTGTAATAATTAAACTTTATCAGGATTGAAATTAAAGTAGAGTACAATTTCAAAGTAGTATTTCATTGAATCCGGATAAGTCCACGTAGATCATTATCACACACAGGCATTTGTTTCGGTAATAATTTTTTTAACCCATAGTATAATAATAACACATTGATATCCAGCTCCGAATTACATGGAGTACCCCCTCCCCAGAATCGCATTCATTTATACTTTCAGAGGAAATGCACTGGCAAACTGTTTATGACCACTGTCTTTTACGATAATTTATTAACACAACCATATATGGCATGTTTGTCTTTTTGTCTTTATCTCTGTAAACAGTGTCAAAACTCTGCTCGCCGAGTGGAAAAGTCGGCTTACATCATGAAATGGTACGTATGTGCTAATCCCGAACAGAGAGCAAATTTAAAAATGGATATGTTTAAAAAATCAATTTCAGTGTTTAAATTGTTTACGTTTCATTTTCCTTAAAAATTACGATATTTTTTCGACGTCATGTTAGAAAGATAATTTTAGCCAATCAAAATTCAGAAACATATTCCGCCGGAGATAAGCACATACCATAATATTTCATGGTGTAAGTTGGATACCTTGTGTTATTATTATACTATGGGTTAAAAAATATCACTGAAACAAGTGCCTGTGCTGTCACACCACCGAGGTTTCAGTCAATAGTGCGATGACGATGACGCTATGGTATGATGTTGCAATAATGATGGTACAATTGCACGATGATGTGATTACTCGGTAGAGTGATGATACGATGGGATAGGGCGATGTTGCCATGACGATGGTGCGATGGCATGATGACGATGTCTCACTATCGCGCTGTCGTGTCACCGCACCATAGCGTTATCGTTATTGCACCATCGCGCTATTAGTTGACCCAAAAGTCTATGCGCAATGGTGCGATAGTGAACTACATAGCCATATCCGGATCCCTTATTATTTAGATTATCATAGTCGTTCTGTCTCATTGGAATAGAATGATAGTGGGAAACTCTTTCGATGTGCGCCTCTTGTATGTTTTCCTTCTTTTTTTAAAGATTGAAACTAAACAACACATTTTAACAAATAGTTATCATGTTGTAAATTTTGCCTTTACCTCCCCCTAGTAAATTCAAAATTTACAACATGATAATACCTTCTTTTTCTTTTCAAATAATAGAGACCATGCCTAGTCATAGAAATTCATATTTTTTTTTACTTTACTCGACAATATTCAGATAACAATGTCAATTAAAAAATAATATGTTTGATTAAAAAATATTTTTAAAAAACGTTGATGAAAGCAAAATCTGCAGTTGATGTTCGGCATAATTATGTACATTATACAGCTGTAGTCCTACGAAAGCTGGATAGGCTCAATTTTCACAAGAATAAAAAAAATAACTCGTTATAACGAGATAGTTATCTCGTTATAACGAGTTAGGATCTCGTTATAACGAGATAATTATCTCGTTATAACGAGTTAGTTATCTTGTTATAACGAGTTAGTTATCTCGTTATAACGAGTTAGTATCTCGTTTTAACGAGTTAGTTATCTCGTTATAACGAGTTAGTTATCTCGTTATAACGAGTTGGTATCTCGTTATAACGAATTAGTTATCTCGTTATAACGAGATAATTATCTCGTTATAACGAGATAATTATCTCGTTATAACGAATTAGTTATCTCGTTATAACGAGATAGTTTAAATTTCTCGTTATAACGAGATAGTTTTCTGAATAAAAATGGCTGTAGTTTTTAATGCCATTGAATTTTTAGCTAGTAATTATCAGTCAAACTTAACTTGAACAATTTATAAATGGTAGAAAATTTAATTTGCTCTGGGGTTTACTAATGATTAAATCTTGAACTATCTCGCTGTCTCGTTTGATAAGTATAGCAACTCTAAGACGAACACATTTACACATTAATTCTGAACGCCTCCTCAAATTGTTGCATTAGGACGCGATATTTTTCTTAAAATAATATTGCCAAATATACTTGCTTCAAACTCTGGCAATTTATTTATGACAACTATTTCTGATGAATGACACTATTTCGACATGTTTTGGACGACTAAATAAATACACTTTCATATAGCAATTTCCATTCCGCTAAAATTAAATATCAGAGACAATATAAGTACAACATATCGCAGGCGTTTATGCAACATATATATACGATTACAGTGCGATACATATGTTGTTTTTGAGATTCAGAAATGTTTTGAAGAAGGGGGGGGGGGTGAGACATCAGCAGTTAGATCATAGGCGTAGTAATGGGGGGGGGGGGGGGGCTAATGTCCCCACCACCACTTTTGAAGAGGGGGCGGTCAAGGGTATTTTTGTGCTCCTTCCTCCAGATTTTTTTTTACCTGAGTAAATATCTCCCGAAAATAACGACGAATACTCGTAGTTGGAGTATCAAATCTCTTTTTTTTCTATTTGCTTGTCAAATATTTTACTTGGTTTAACCCCTCCCCCCCCCCCTTCCCCCCGAACTTTGTGACTAAGCTTATGCAGATTGTCCACGATGATGAGGAATGATGAAGCAAAAATGATATTACGTCCTTCTAAGTAATAAGACGTTAGATTTGATCTGCTGATATTGACATTTTATCTAATATTCTGTCATGATTCACTGTTTATATTTTTTGCGGGGGGGGGGGGGGTCCAAGCTGTGCAGATTCACGTAGACCTATTTGAGATTCACGTCTATTTGGCGGATCCTATGTTTACCACATGGTGACAAAACATCAAACCAGAGTTTACAACACACAAAAAAAGGTTTACAGAGTTTACAAAGCCAGTTCACTTTTATAATCTTTTTAATTAGGATTGATCAACGAATAGGACTAATACTATACATGTATTACAAGCCCGTTATGCATAAATCCCACGTTTCCAACTATCGTTGATGTCCCTGGCATACTCTACTAACTAGACAGTGATTCCTTATATTTCCATTTCATTTTGAAATAAAATTGTAAATTTTGATTTTAAAAATGTAGACTAATAGATTTAAATTACACGAGGCCTCACATGTCAATTTCAATAGTCCCCGCCCACTGACGTCAAACACAAAGACAGCAGCACGAGAATTACATGCATATTAGGCCTCCTTAAGAGTCTGACACAAAGACAGCCGCATGAGAATTACATGCATATTATGCCGTCTTAGCTACTGACCTTTCGCTTGGCAAAATTTGCATTCCGTTAGAATGATCAAGAAATCAACTCTCGAGCTCCTAACTTTCAAAGAGTTATCACAGAGAAAACAAATAGAAATGGAAATATTATTAATAAAACATTGAAGCAATGTCGTTAATTATTTTCCTCATCACAATATCACAATATTTATTATGTATACTTTGCATGCAAGCATATAATTTTTATTTCAAAAAGAGATTGATGATTTTTTTTGGGGGGGGGGGTGGGGATGGGGGGGGATATAAATAGAGGATATTCAATGTTTTGTAGTTGATATGGAATTTATTTCAAGAGTGGGACAGGATTTTTTTTATATTTTCACGAGTGAAAATATCAAAAATCCTGTCTCACGATACAATACATATTTCTAGGCATAATTTATGCTTGAAATACACCTTAATTAATGCGTATCATATTGTAAACTTTAGATATTAAACTTTCATTCTATCACAAACATGTCAACTGTTTTTACTATTGTCAAAGTGAGGCATGTGAATTTCCTACATGCATTACATTTCAGCCTGGTGACCTTCATCTTTTTATTGTGGCTTCCGTAGAATAAAGAGCCCCAAAAGTTTTTTATTCTATCGCATTGATAATAACGCTTAAAATACATATTGTACATGAGATTTCATGCCAAATTGGTAAATTAAAATGTTTCTTTCTTTAAATAAACAAAAGAAATATATAAATTATTAAGTGATAAGTACAGTATTAGTTTTTGAAATTCATCATATTTATTATTGCGGGGAAGGAGGGATTGATGATAAAAACAACGTGAATTTATTTTTTTGTCAGACATTGAATTTTGATCTTGCCCAGCCCCTTTAAGACGATAAAAATGAACTGGTATTTCTTAATGTTAACAGGCAAGGAATTTTCAAAATATGGACGTTAAAGCCTAACAAATGGTATCATATCGACATTAGTAATTCGGAATATATAAAATAATGGGATTATTTCTATGCATTTTTTATTGCGACAAATATTACGCAAAAATTATCATAATTTTAACATAGTCAAGAAAGCTTGAACAGGCCAGTTAAATCAGCCAGAATATATCATTTTTTTCTGATCTCCTTGTACAAGTTGACAACATTTTGACGTTATATCCATTCCATTTTAAGATGACACTAATTCTATTTTGTAATTTTAAGGTATAACACAACAACATGAGGCGGTCATAAGTTTCCGTATATTTGTCTTCGGTCTTTTCAATGAACAATACTAATCAAAAGCATAACATAAAAACTAGTATACTGTTGTTCCATAAAATCTTTATCAGGCACACTTCAAACAAATTTGATCGACTGGCTTCTGTTTATTTCCTATAAATAATAGTACATGTATATTCTTTACTTAGATATATCAACTCTTTAGATCAATTTTTATCTCGTTATAACGAGATAATTATCTCGTTATAACGAGATAATTATCTCGTTATAACGATATAACTAACTCGTTATAACGAGATAACTAACTCGTTATAAGGAGATAACTTACTCGTTATAACGAGATACTAACTCATTATAACGAGATACTAACTCGTTATAACGAGATAACTAACTCGTTATAACGAGATAACTAACTCGTTATAACGAGATAATTATCTCGTTATAAAGAGATAACTAACTCGTTATAACGAGATACTAACTCGTTATAACGAGATAACTAACTCGTTATAACGAGATACTAACTCGTTATAACGAGATACTAAGTCGTTATAACGAGATACTAACTCGTTATTACGAGATAATTATCTCGTTATAACGAGTTAAATATTTTTTTTGTCTTGTCAAAAATGAGCCTATCCGGCTTTCGTAGTAGTCTGTATCATTCCGACGTTTGTGTTTAGTGTATGTTTAACACAAACGTCAGGATGATCAAGACTTACCATTTGGGTTTGCATTTTTACGCATTGTGTGAACAACATTGTTTTTATGCCCCGTATCGAAGATTCGGGGGAATATATTTTTTGCCCTGTCCGTCCGTCTGTCTGTTCTGTTTGTCTGCAAAAGCTTTAACATTGCTCATAGCTTTTGATGGGTTTTGAGCTATGGCTTTCATATTTCATATGTGTATTCCATGTGACATGACCTTTCTTTTGGTACCATCATATTTGACCTTGGAGTTTGACCCAGTTTTACAAAATTTTACCCAACTTTAACCTTGGCCATAACTTTTGAACAGTTGGTGCTAGGGCTTTCATACTTCCCCTGTGTAATTCCTGTGACAAGTATTAAGTTATCCTCTTGCTAATAACACTATCTTTGCAGATCTAACTCACAAGTGTTAGTAGATAACAAGGTGATGGACTAATAGCATTAAATGGCAAAGTAAATTTCAGTGTAAAGTCACATATGGCGTATTTTTTATAAGTTCAGACTAACTAAAATTAAAAAGATCTTTCTATTAGTTTTATTACTTTATATAAAGATAGGACTTTCCTGTAAATTACAGAATTGAAATCAATCACGTTTCAAAGATATTAGAAATTTAAAACAATAACCGATTTATATACCGACTCCACATTTAAATAACAAAGTTTGAAGTCAATTTAACTATGGAAACATGAGGTTATTCAAGTCCAAAATCGGTGAAAATTTTAATTTGAACGTAAATAACATATATCATGTTTATCTACACTTAATCTCGCATTTTTAATTTTTTAGCTCAGATACACCATATATAGCTTTAAACATATCTCTGTCCATTATTCTCTCGCATAATCAAATATGAAAGACCAAGCTTACTTTGTACTTTTGTATTATTGAGATTGTGTATTTGTTACATTGATTTTTTTTTTACATGTTTTGTTGTACTTTTATACTAAGAATTCATTATGTAATCGTAATATTCCAAGTTTGTACTTTATATGTATGTATTTTACTTCTTTTTTTTAAATTTAATTTTTTTACCTCCATTAAGAGTAAAAAGTTATCGCAATATTATCTGGTGATTTGTCATCATTGTTTAAAGATCATACATGTATACAGGGTATTTCTATTTAATATGATGAAAGAAGAAGGCATAGAATATAGACATAGATTTTTTAAATGTGGTACTACTCTATCGTATAGAAAGCCACATCGTACTCTTGGTGTGTAGAAAACCATATCCATAAAGTACAAACTAGCTGATTTGCTTTTTGTTTCACAAAGTGTAAAGGTAAAAAGGAACAAATGCTAAAACTATTTCTTATCATAAAGTTAGGTTAAAAGTATAAACGAGATGACCTTAAAAGGAGAGATTGTTTAATGAATTCACTTTCATGAAATACAATATAAAACATAGAGAGGCTACTGATTTTACATATGACACGAACACAAACTCTTACAGAGTATTGAAAAAATGCTGCATTAGAAGAGAACGAGTTAAAACATATACATGTACACTCACAAAAATGAAAGATGGCTACATTTTTGTTCAAGGGAAAAAACAAGCATACAAAGACAAAAACCCTTTTTGATATTGAATTTTACACATATAATGGGTTCATGATCGTGCACTCAATAGTTCAAACAAGTAACATATCATTTGTGTCTCAGATGAAATTAACAAATGAAATGCCTACATGTACGTGTTGTAAACAGTCTAGTATAGTCATGATCTACTCGCTATCATGGTCCTATCGCAAGCATTTTAGGACGGAATTGTGTTATCCTTAACCTGCGTTATCAAAGTACTGAAGAAAAAAGTCTTTTTGATAATGTTTACCCCCAAAATGTATATCGACAAATCTTTAAACTAAAATGAAGGAATGATCTTGTATTTTTCCTTAGTAACATTCCTAGAGATGATTATGACATAGACTCCAAAATTACTAAAAAATATAAAATCCTTAATTAAACTAAATCCTTTACTTGCAGTTTTCTCTTGCGACATATTTTCCTGAAATCCATATCTATCAGTACTTGAACAAACTGACACATATAAAAAATTCGGAAAATTTCCTTCTGTTTGATAAAATTTATACTCGTATTATGCAGTCAAGAAATCTTCCTCCTGATTGGCTTAATATTGCACGTGATGTTTATTCTTTCTGGGCTACCACACTGTATTGTTGTGTATCGTGACTTGTCTCCTTTTTCCTGAAATAAAAAAAAACGTCCTTTTAAAAAGGTACACTAAAGGTATAAAACCTTATAAAATTGTATAATTATACAGACTTCCAATGAAAACATACATGTACGTGTACATTAACTGCGTTCAAAACCTTGATTTGAAAGACATTTTTGTCGTCCGGTTTATGAACAGTTTTTGTCGAAAATGATCGTTTAAATCTTGTTTTCCTTGATGCCAAAAAATTATTTTTAATATTTCTAAAAAAACTATTTCAGAGTGTAAAATTAAAAAAAATTATTAGCTGCAGTTAGCTTGCAAATAATGATTAAAATCCAGATGGCACTGTGTAAAATACAGTTATGAGTGATACCATCTTAGCTAGCTAAGGCCTGCTGCTATGGTGCAATCAAAAGTCAGGATTTTTTATTCGAGTTGTGATTGGATTTTACTGATATTGTTCAACCAATCAGAGATTGCTTTTGCAAATGACGATATCTCCGTTCGGGATGCATCTTGACTCTTTAGTCTCGGGATAGACTTGCTCAAGTCTCTATGTTTTAGTGCTCTCTTTCATACTTTTTGATAATGTCAAACATAGATAACATTTAACTACGAGGAAGAGCAGAGGACAACAAGACAGAAATGAACAAAGAATTATTTAATTAAAAAAAAACAACATAGAGACTTGAGCAAGTCTAGTCTCGGGAAGGAAAAACACAAATAAACAATGATTCGTATGATAATATGTCATTCTCTAAAAATCTATTGTGTCATCCAGCTTTTAGCTGATGTGCACATAATGTGAACAGGAATGTATATTGCACCCTATAATAACCAAAAAAAAAAAAAAACAACAACAACAAATAAACAAAGAAAAAAAATCGCTCGATACCTGCTTGTTAATATTTCTTTAATTACTATAATTTTAAATACGCATTTTATGCGTGTCGATGATGCAATCTGTGAGTATGTGGTAAGATTCGAGATCACGTGATGTAAATATGGCACCATAGGCCAAGCGTAGTGGATTAGAAACCCTTGGCTAGCGAAGATGATATGATACAAACCCTGACCCTTTCATTGAGCCACTTCTTTTCTTTTTCAGAATCACTGCAATGACGATCACAATGATAAGTACAACCACTATAGCGACGACGATACCAATAATCATCGTTATATTCTGCTCAGGAGGTCCTGAAAAATATGTAAGAGACAATTTTTTGTTATTATTATTTTAATCAGTATTTGTACTATTGTTAAATATTTACAAAACTGAGTTAAATTTATTGTGTATTTAAAAGCAATTGAAGTTAATAATTAATTTTTCCTCGATAAAATTGCAATATAGTTGTTTCCAAAATATAAAATTATAGATAAACATCAATTCAAATTTTCTGGATAATTACTCTTGAATGTGAAAAGTATGCAATTTTGCATATTTTCAATGATATGAAGTTAAAGTTGATACGGTTGCAATACGACTTTCTCAAACAGAAATATATTAAATAAACAATTTGTAAATAGACTTTGTGAGATGCGACATAATTCCGACAAATTACTGGAAGACCACAATCTTGTGTAGCATGAACGTTTTCTCTCTGACCTTTTGATACCCTTATTGAAAAACTTAAATCTGCTCATTTCTATGCATATTAAAGACTTATTTCTGCTTTGCCCATGAGATTTTTTCCGAGCCCCCATAATTTTGGCCGAGGAGTTAAAAATGCTTAATATGTATGCCACTGGCAAGCATATTCGTTATCGAAAAGACACAACATCTCTTTAAACTTTTTATTAATTTAAAAAAAAAATCACATCAAATCTTTAAATATTGCATAGCAGAAAACAGTACAACCTTACGCTGCACGAAATATTTAAAACTTCAAACTTCAGACATAGACAAAACAGTTTGTGGTTGGTACATAAAATCATTATTGCATTTGATTAATGGATTTAAATCAAAGTACTTGCCCTCGCAAGAGGCAGTGACTTCAGGGGTCCAGCTTTGCGTATAAGAATTCTCCTCGCCTGTTGCTGTACATTTGTAAACCTTTTCTCCTGTTAACTCTCCCCGCCTACAGCCCGTGATCACCACGGTGTTGCCCAGACTGTAGTTATAATTATCCTTAATACTTTGTGGGACATCTAACAGACCACAGGACCGCACTAAAATTAAAAAAAAAACATTAAAATCCTAACATTTATATCAGTCCCCTGATAGACTGCATAAAAAAACTTGTAAAGGTATTAAAAAGTCACAAATAAATGTTTATATTCAAGCTTACCTAGTCGTCTTTCATCTTGTATCTGGTCGTAACGTGACGATAAATGCATTGTTTGGTATGCTAAGGTCATGTTCATTGTTGTCCAGTAGTCATGGTTACAAGATTTGTCACCATAACATTGAGTCATTTCTTGAGAGTGTTCGAAACACATATCCGTCTTGTTAGTGGCAAACACTGGGAAAGGAACGATTGTGGAGCTCAAGGTTCCTTTGTTTTTGGTGATAGCCCCTAAAATAAACAAAGTAGTATAAATCAAAATAACACAACTACTAGTATTCTTTTCTTTAATGTCAAAAAATTAATTTGTTCAATAATTTCATACTGTATACAATTCAGCCACAAAGATTCATTAACAAATCATTTTCGACAAAATTTACATTGTTTTAACATTTTTTTGGCGAAGTCTACAATTTTTAAATACTTACATGAAAAGACAAACTTGCTGTAGATATCCTTAGGGTTTCTATGTAACACAGAGAATTTTGAATTTCGGGGTGTTAGATCGTCGACAGAGTCATTGTTCCATCTACCAAGTAAACCCGAGCTTTCATACTAAAATTAGCAGAAAATAATTCATCAAATCCAATCTCTAAATACATAAAAATGTGGACTAGATGCGTATAAATATACACAGTCGAATCTGAACTATGTTGCAATTTTACTTCTGATTGAGAAAAAAATGCACAATTCAAAATCAAACGAGTGTTAAAACAAGGAACAAAATTTGTTCCAAAAACACACCCCAGGAGGAATCATAACCAACAGAGACAGTCTTTGGTGATTTTCTGCCACTTGTACCCCGATCCCGTTCTTTGTTATCACTGTCACATTAGACTCCTTAGTGTTGGAAGGATCATCGCTGTTCACAATGACTGAGTCTGACAGAGTAATATTTTAATAAGTGACAAACAGTGTACCTACATGTACGCCTACTTCAATCTATCAAACAGTCGTCAAAAATATTCAGAATAACCAATATGATAAAATATGTTCATGAAATCTGACAAATATAGTTTTTAATCTAATATGGAATTTTTTCAAAAACCTGTGAAGTCTTTCCATTGAAGCGGACCATTATCAAAGAATTGGTATTCCCCATTTACAAGGACATCTAAAATGCGTTTCGAACGATCTGCATTGGGTCCTTTCATTCTTATTTCAATGACGTCATTTCCGGATCGGATTCCAACGTCAGTCAGTATTGTGGAATTGTAGTTCTCTGCATGTGGAAAAAAATATAGTGCGGTAAGTCTTAGTTTAATTTTTTAATACTCTTTACAAATGTATGACTAAAATAACTATACATACGACTAAATGGGGATTTCTGGAATCGGCCTTCAATTGTAACAGGTGTCGATTCCAGTAATATAAAATCTCCCTCTCCACACACAAAGTAACTATCATTGTCAAACGTTCTAACATTCCCTTGACCAAAAACCATTGCTGCAAGTACATGTTGAATGATGAGTATATATATATTAATGATGAGTATATATATTAATGTATATCCAAGTTTCCACAAAAACGTATTCAAATCAAACAAATCACGATTTGTGCAATCAATTTTTGAGAACTTCCATGGTTTGGGCAATAAGAAAAACAAGTGAATTTTATGACCTTGTTTTGGCGGGGAGTACCCTGTGCATTGCAAAGTTGGTCGGGCTGCCATATATTTGTCACAGTCGGCCGAGAATCCTGTCCACATACAACAGTAAAAGAAGGGGACTATGTCATGGACCCAGTGAGACATAGAGGGTACTTGGGCTCGATCAAGAGTGCTTCCTTGGTATGAGTCAGATGAGTAAATCAGAGTTCCATCAGCTCTGTAGCAACACTGATTTCCTGCTCCATGTCTATTATATTGGTAAAATCGACAATGAGTGGATGATATACATTTGATTGGAGATGCCAATATTTAACATAATAGTACTGATAAACGAAACAACTTACACGTTTGGTTGTACTGAGCGTACACAGTGAACAGCAGCACTGTGTAGGGCGCAATTAAGCGGACTTTTACTAAAAAGATTACATCCATGATCTTTGTACCATCTTCCAATATCTGCAAGAGCCTGTTGAAGATTACAAGGGCATGCCGGGATAAAATTTAACCAAGATCTGTCCTTTATGTCTTTTTGATACCAGGCTTGGCACTTCTCGACCGGCCAGGAATCTCCGTATCGAGCCACCATTCCTCTGCTGACGAGCCATCCAAGTGTTGTCGGTCTGCTACGTAACACTCTGAGGATGGCAAGGATCGCAGTATTTAGGAGATTAACAATATTATTCTTATCAACAATACCTTTATTATGTTTTCAAAACAAAAGCTACAAAGTACATGAAGCTGAGGAAATATTAAAGAACATTACCTATATTTGATGGCCATTCGTGGATCCTCGAGTTTGACCTCAATGACACCAACTTCATAACCTTGACATCGTTCATCACAGCTGATGTCTTCAGTGTTGAATCGGTAACTTCCACGGCTGACAGGGATGGGATCCTTAGTTATAGGAATCGTGAGGTCCCAGGATTTCTAAGGAAAAGTTGAAAACTATAGAACTTTGCATTCCTTATCTAACTTTCATTGATAGTTTACGTTGCTTTCCGGTTCTATCAATGCACTTAAATCTGACATGCAAAATTGAGACACTTTTGATCCAAAGTACTAAAACTTCTACCTTTTCCTCGCTATATCCACGCAAATTTACTGACACTTTGGCATTCGAGTGGTTAGACAAAATTCGCGGGTTCCACTGCAAATACAATGATGCTGCAGAAGTGTCATTCCATAGGGATCCTGGACCTTGGTTTACAAGTTGTACACGTTCCTCTGTCGGCATTCGACTTGGCAAAACTGCAAGAAAATGTGTTACAGTAATTTGTAATTCTCCTGAATGAAATATGGTCACCAGAATCACATACAATATCAAAGCAACTATAACGAAAAACACCAATGAACTTTTTGAACGCCATGAGTCAAACCTATTGTTATTGTGGTATTGTACTCTTTTTGACCATTCGTTGCTTTCATGAAAACGGTCACTTGTCCGCTCTCTGTAAGAATCGGTATCTCACACCGAGCTTTCAGTGTTGTTGGATCATAATCCTCTGTCAAACAGTCTTCTGATTTATCTCTTCGGTTTCCGAATGATAACGAGTAAGATGAACCCCACTTGAAACAAGGGCCGGTAACTTCTACCATTTCTCCACCAAACATTCCAGCAGAGTCAGGGACGACTTGTAATTTGCCTGCGAATAACATACCCGTGATTCAACAAAAATCGCCGTATGCAACAGTTTGCTGATATTTGAATGCCTTTAATTTTTTTTGTATGCTAGATTACATGTATTTGGTCCTGTTTATGCTTTCTTATCTACAATTAATGTTCATGTTCATCTACATGTTCATGTATGATTTCGTAAAAAAAAAAAAAAAATCAGTTTTCGCAATTTTTAATTTGTTGACGAATGAATTCTAATAAATAGCCAATTACATTGTTGAAAGTTTCAGAAATAATGTTACTCCTTTTTACCATCAGGATTGTCACATCCACCCGTAATGATCCGCTCCTCATTAATCTGATAAATGTAGCGCCCTTTGTAAGAACTGGCTTGAAACATGCTGATATTAGACATAAACTGTTTAGATATGGCAGGACTCCATCCCCGTCCGTAGCCACCGTTGAACCCTGCCTAAAAAATTAAAGATTGTTATATTCTAAAATTAATTCAAAGTACTTACGCTGAAGTGTGAGTTTTTTTCTGGGTTTCCTAATGAACTTGCTTGACCTACTGCTATCTATTCTTAGCTGTCCTCCAACAGTCTGTCGCCAACTCCCTTAAACTCTACTAACAATAATCAACTTTTTTTCACATAATAAATGTGTGTCAAACTTCATTGTTATAGTAAATAAAAGACTCTATATTCTTTAGAAAGGGAAACAGTCAATATAATATAAAAGGTAAATATAACGAACAGTGATCAATCTCAAAAATGCACAAACAAATCAAATATGTGAAGAGGGTGTAAAACACCCCTGGAAATTCCAGAGGTGGGATCAGGCGCCTAGGAGGAGTAAGCATCCCCTATTGACTGGTCATACCCTATGTATTGATCAGATCGACGGTATAATTGATATTAGCTCCTCCGAAATATATTGACTGTCATTCCTTCGCCACGGGAATTCCTCCTTCGGGTAACGAAAATATGCTATTTCCCTGATACCCATTCCAAAACTGTATACTACTGACCGGCAAAGAGAGTTTTCCTACAATATTATTGATTGATTTATTGTGACGTAATGATACTGTCGTAACTTCCAAAAAAAATAACGCCAGAATATTTTTTGTGTTTTGTTTAGCGTCTCTCTCGAGAATTTTTTCACTCACATGGAGACTCCACCACTTGCCAGTGGAGAGCTGCAAAGTTTGACCTATGCTCGGCACTCAGGACCATTGAGCAGTGAGGGATCTTTTTCGCACCAGCATCTACTGTGACTTGGAACCCCGGTTTATACGGTCTCATCCAAAGGACCGGTCTCCATGTCCCACAGTGAGATTCGAACCCGCAATGTAAGGATCAATTCCTTACTTTGCGACTCTAGAGAAGACGCTCTACCACTGCGCCACGCGGGCGAACCAAGTAACACAATCATGACAACATATTTACATTCAGTGTAATTTTCTTTACAAAATCCATTGGAAATCTACATTATTCAATACCCTATAACACACCCGAAACATTGTCACTGCGCGGTATATTACAAAGAAGGAACTATATGCATTATAGCTGACGCTAACGCGCGGTATTCAATTTGTCGGCACGGCCAGGTGCTGTTATAGGACCGACGACAACCAAAAATAAGAATTCAATGCATAATTGAAAATTCCTAGAACTATACAATCAACAGATAATGCATTGGATACGAACGAGATGCTGGATTTAATGAATGAAATCAAAATTATATATTTTATTGATTTGTTTTGTTTTCATATAACAAAACAATTATTGACAGTGTTTTCGGGCAACATTGATTATGTTAACCCCCTCGTCGGGCAATATTTCATCAGTTGGGGGTTATTAATATTTCCCTCATATTATATTAATGTTTCCCTAAATCCCAGTCAATATTTGTATGATATTAAATTGCACGATAATAATTTAGTATCGAATATCCTTACTTGGTAGTTTGTCGAGGGCGGAAATGTAAGCTTCATATCTTTGTAGTTGAAAATTGCAAAGCTTAGAATACCATCGGTCACAAGAACAGCTTGAAATGTGTTGGCCTATGAAATGAATATCATTTACATGAAATAATGTCATTAAAAATAGTTTATTTAATTTCATATAACATACACCATCAAATGTTTTTCATAATTTTGGTACGAATGTTTATTTCTCATATTTGTAATAAGATACATGTACCTGTAAATTCAAAATTCTCACATATATAAATATATAAACATTAAATTTAATTCATCATTTTTCCGCTTCCTCACTGTACCTGACATTTTCTTCCTGTACCGTCTGTACATTTTATGACTCCAGTATTGTATTCGTCTGTGACCTTTACCCACGTGACAACAAGTGCAAATTTTGGGTCAAAGTTCCTGACTCCAGCTATGGATTCTGTGATGTTTCTCCCAATAGATTCCAATTCTCTGCGTTGCCCCCGCTCTCCTTTCTTTAAGACATTGTAGAAAATTTTCCCTTGATAAGCGTTTCCCCCTTCTAAAGTAGATTTAAGGTGTGCACCTCCATAATAAAAGGGTGCCACAAAAGGATAGTCCTCGGCTGCATTGACACTCTTCTCGTCCCGTACTGTGAACTTCCGACTTGTGACGTAACGAGCGTATTCAGAGAATGCCACAAAGCCATCTTTTGATACCTGTGAATTACAGGAAAAAGGGAAGCAAACTTCATTTCGACAGTTTCTAAAAATCATTACATAAATTTTGTATTAAGATCATTGCATACGCAGGTTAACAAAAACCATCGTCGCGGAAACGCAGAGTTGTTTAAATTTTTCAGTATCATAGATTGGGTCCAACTTGTAGCAAAGGTTTACTTATGTTCCACTATGGTTTGTTCCCAAAGGCGTGGTTCTGTGAAAGGGCGTATAGAAGTGCATATAAGAAGGGTTATTGCAAAATAAATTTAATAAACTTACATATAGGCTCTTGTAATTTTGACCAAAATACGGGTACGTCAATCCATCAGGCAGTGGGATTTTGGTCAAAGGATAATTAACCTGGACTTCATTGTTTCCCTGAGAAAACAGCACTTCACCTGCCAATAGACATTTTTATATGTAGAAATGTAGATGAAGAGCTTATATCAAGTTCCTGAAAGCACATTTTTAATAAACTTGTGATGAGATTGTTTGTAAGATTTTTCGAAAGCTAAAATGGGTTTAGGTGATGTGAAAACTATTAAATATTTCAACAGTTTAAAATTAATATTTTTATATAAAATTTGACAGAATTCTAAATAAAACGCATAAAACAAGCTTAAAGCAAATAATTATGGATAACTGAAAATCGTAGATGAAATTCGTTTCTATTTGTGTAAATATTTATTTTCTTCTGGGTGAAAATATAACTTCAATATAAACATGAGTTCGCTGTACGTGTGTTCGCAACAATCAGGGTTTACTGTATTTTAAAGTCTATTGAATTTGCCTGTCCAGAAACATAAATTAAAGTGTACCATACAACTGGAAATAATCAATATTTAATGGGTGTTGTTTATCGTTGCTTTTTTCTTTTGCATATTTTCTGTGTGTCCAAAACGTCAACAGATCTTCTCTTAATGATAATAACTTTCATTTTTTAGGTCACCTGAGTCACTCAGGTGACCTTTTGCTATCTTTTTTCGTCCGTCGTGTGTTAACATTTGAACATTTTCAGCTTATGTGAAACCGCTGAACCAATTTCAGCCAATTTTAGCATATGGCATCTATGTGTGAAGGGGCACAAAATTTGTGAATTTCATGGCCCCTACCCCCTGGGTCCTGAGGGGTGGGGCTAAAACCACCAAAATTAATGCACTCTTTAAAAATCTTCTTCTTTACTCCTGGACATCAAGCAGTCAAACTGTTGGAATGATTGTAATAAGCATTGAGCCCTCTACCAAAATTGTGAAATTCATGGCCCCAGGGTCAAGGGTTCTGGTGCTAGGGCGGGGCTATATAGATCATATAGTGAAAGTGCATTATTTTTTTGAAAATCTTCTTCTCTACTCCTGGGTATTATTGAAACAAATTAAATACATAGTTATGATAAGCAAGGGTGACTCTACCAAAATTGTGAAATTCATAGCCCCAGGGTCAGGGGTTCTGGTGCTAGGGCGGGGCTATATTAGATCATATAATGAAAGTGCATTATTTCTTTGAAAATCTTCTTCTCTACTCCTGGGTATTATTTAAACAAATTAAATACATAGTTATGATAAGCAAGGGTGACTCTACCAAAATTGTGAAATTCATAGCCCCAGGGTTAAGGGTTCTGGTGTTAGGGCGGGGCTATATAGATCATATAATGAAAGTGCATTATTTCTTTGAAAATCTTCTTCTCTACTTTTGAGTATTATTTAAACAAATTAAATACATAGTAATGATAAGCAAGGATGCCTCTTCCAAAATTGTGAATTTCATGGCCCCTGGATCAGGGGTTCTGGTCCGGTGTTAGAGCGGGGCTCTATTGATTATATAGTGAAAATGCATTTATGCTTCAAAAATCTTCTTCTCTGCTCCTGTGCATTATTTAAACAAACTAAGTACATTGTTATGATAATCAAGGATGCCTCTTTCAAAATTGTGAAATTCATAGCCCCAGGGTCAGGGGTTCTGGTGTTAGGGCGGGGCTATATAGATCCTATAGTGAAGGTGAGGATGAGAGGCTCTGGTGTTTCTCGGTGGGGAGTGCTCTATTGATAATATAGTGAATCTGTAATAAAAATGCATTATTTTTTTTAAAAATTTTATCTGCACCTGAGCATATCAGAGGCAAAAAGAGTAAAAGTTTTAATAAGGAAGGGTATCTTTACCAGATTTTTGAACATCTTAGACCATTTGGTCAAGTGTTCTGGTCCTGGCCAGGGTTTTGTATTCTACTGAGAGGAGTTATTCCCCTTTGCCATCTACTTTTGATAATCAATCACTGTAAATAATGTACTTGTTAATATATTGTATGGTGATAAATGGGGAACAGATTAGAACCTAATTTATGAACTGTTAATAAATACTTTACGAATTATTTTGTTGATCCTGATCACCCTATTTTTCTTGCTTTTGGGCAACAAAGCTTCACCTTTCAGTTCATTTTATACTCTATGGATCCTCTAAATTGTTGTATTATACTCTGGTGACCGTTAAGGCCTTGGGCCTCTTATTGAATATTACTGTCCACGTCAAAGAATGTTGGAGGTTTAATTCTGTACTAAACAGGAATTTCTTAAAATAACGAATATACAACATCATAAATTTTAACTGGTCAGTGTTATACTACTATTTCAGTATTGCGAACATCTGAGTTGAACAAGAAAAAATTGTTATCGGTCGGTCATAAATCGAACGTAGTCAGTAAGCAGAATACGGTGGAGCTCCATAAATATAAGATCCAAAGTAAAACATTTTCAAACAACATTATTCGATTTTCGCCAATATATTATTATAAATAAATAGTCTTTTCATTGTAAGGAAAGCCATGATGTTTTCTTAAGCTATAAAAACTGAGCTTTTTAAACAGGACTTTACAGCCAATGTTTCTCACCATTGTCAAATGCATTCAAAATATACAAAATCTCACATATATATTATTACACAAAAATAGTCTTTTTCCCGATTAGATATACAATAGTAAGCAAACAGGTGATCAGAAAGTAGCCTGATAAGATGATATTTATTTAAGGAGGAATGCTATAACAATTGTGGCAACGCACTTTGAAAAAAAAATTGGGACAAAATCAACGCACTTTGAAATTTTTTTTCAAAGTGTGTTAAGAGTGTACATCAACATTTTTACCATGGAGACACTTAACGCTCTTTGAAAAAAAACCCCAAAAATTCTGGACTTAGATTTTAATAATAGACAGCATTAATTTGTTATATTAATTCCGAAAAACTGATGAATTGATCTACCCTCATCGAGAACGAGGAGAAGACAGGTAGAAAGTCCCTCGGCCCAACTCTCTATCTTTCCTACACAAATATATGTATTTACATTACTGGTATGACATTAATATTATTTCTCTCAATAAATTTGAGTTAAAGTAAAATAGATGAAAAAATTGAAATAAGCTTTCCTGAAAAAAAAATTACGCACCCTATCATATTAAATGTATTTACATGGAAATTAAAACATGCTATTTGAAATGTCTAGCGTTTTTATGATATCAAATTACAGATTTAGAAGTAATCTGACTGCATAACTTTTTTGAGAAAAAGTTATTAGTGAATGAGGTAAAAATTTCAGTCGAGTGAGTAATGTGACTAAGGTTTATTTTCTTACTATCAAATAAATGAGTCAACCAATGTTTCATATATGTTCACAATAGATAGATAGATGAATATGATAGAAAAATAGAGGAGAGAGAGAGAGAGAATTTTCATGGTATGGAAAAAATCAGAATTGCTCCCTTTTCCCTAAGAAAAATGCGATGCTTTAAGTCACTTATCGACACCTACATCTAACGAACTTAGAGACTGGATAAAATTTAGAAAAGAGAAGAACAAAAAAAAAAAACGAAACTGTGCAATTAAACAATCATTCCTCCATTATTTCTAAGACCTATTTCCCTTTCATAACAGTTACGAGAACCTTTGGAAACAAGACAACTCCTAAAAATCTTTAAAACGTCTATATCTCAGATCCTGACGTCTTCGCCGATAAGTTATCCAACCAGGTTCAAATAATTATTTATCATACCTAAAATTTGCAAGAATATTGACCAAGCCGTGCACATATTTTTCAAAGTGCGTTAATATGGTCGATATTAACGCACTTTGAAAAGAAATTTTTTTTTCAAAGTGCGTTAACGTTGTCCCAAAATTAACACACTTTGAAAAATTTTTTTCAAAGTGCGTTGTAAATGCTACACTAAGATTTTATGTAATGGATCTCTAAGACATCTCATTTGAAACATGGTTTCGGCATTGAAAGATTGATATTAACTCTTAATTATTTTATACGATTTTTTTCAGTTTTGCAAAGAAAATGTAGAAAGGGCTGTTTTTCCCATTATTTTTCTTTTTTCATTGGAATATGCTTGTTGATCACTCGAGTGAAATCATTATGAAAATTATTGAAAACAGTATCTGGGTCATCATGCAAAATACCAGAGTAAGAATCTTCAACAGATCTTAAATCTTCCATACATATACCTAGTTTTAAACTCTTGAAGCTTCTGTAATTTCTGTATTCGGGAGTTGTTAACATAGTTTCCATTTTTAACTGTTTTGCAATAATGTTGTGAGCATCTCATTCCACAAACGAAATTACAATGATTTGCTATAATTTGGGTATTATTCGTTAAAACAACTTCAATCTGGGATGAATTATCTTGCTTTGTAAGACATGTTTTACCTTTTATAACATTTTTAAGTAAAATATATCACCACAGAGATCAGCAAAGATGACTTTTGTTACTATCTGCTAAATCAAAGTTCAAATCCCCCAGCTTAAAGAAAGTATCATATTTGACAGAATTTTGTCGAGTGTTGATATAGAATGTAATGCACAAACGCAAATATCGTGTATTTCAACCAATATCCTATTTAAAGTGCATTAACAAATATTTAAACATATTCTAGATGTATGATAGATAATAACCATACTTACTTTTTAAATTATGAAATAAACAGATAAATAAAAGATAGAGTCCGAAAATTCGCCGGTAAAAGACCGCCATGTTTTATACCCTGCGCAAGGTTAGTCGACTTTATCTTGGCGGTAAACCGGCTGTTATCACACTACTCGTGACGACCCCGGCATTTTCCTTGTTATCTCAGCATATTTCAATCATTTTCCAAATGGAGACCACCCGCGCAAATTTATAGCAAATGACTAACAACTGACTAAATAAAGGTATGCACCATTAGCAAAATCTTTCAATGCAATTTGAAAATAAGGAAAGCGATCTCATTATTATGTATTCGCATATGAAGACGGAAATATAAGAATAAACTGTAGATTTTGTTCGTTACCTTTTCCAATGAGTCTATTATAAATTGGGAAATGTGTCATAGACACTTTAAGTCAATGATCAGACGACGGATTATTTACTCTCCGATAAGGTGATGTATTTAGGATATGTGGTTTTCCAAATCCCACCAATTACTGCGCATTTGAAAGGTAGAGAAATCAACTTGAATTGTGTTTCATCCAAGTGTTTTTGTAAACAATGCTTACGTTTTGAAATACTTCATTTATCAATCTTTGATGATTTAGAACAAATAAAACCATTCATTTTATATGGTGAAATATACTATAATTTGATTGCTGTGTTTTAATGCTCGATAAATGTAACATGGAAATTGATTCCTGTGTTGAGAAGTCACAATTTCTATGATCTGTCAATGCTTTTTGTTTGATATACTTGATCATGTCGTTAGGTCACTCATTTAAAAAAAAAAACGCCTGTATCTTTAGGAAAGCATGTTTAGTGTAAGCATATACACATGGCAGGCTAATTCATAATTTATATATATATATATATATATATATATATATATATATATATATATATATATATATATATATATATATATATATATATATATATACGATGGTTGTTAGAAAAGTTCGCGGACAAGTTCTATTGTGAGCGCGCTATTTCCATGAAACCGGTTAAACTCTCCAGATAAAAACTTTACCTATTTTCCAATAAATGTACAAAGATTTGTTGTTTTCCGGTGATCCTTAAAAAATATACATCTATATTATTTTGATAAAGCATGCTTCACGGAGCATGCTACTTTTTCGCACGTATACATTACATAGACTTTTTATTGAAATTAAAAATTGCACAGTTGTAGCGCAGAAAGAATTTGATATTTTACCTGTCGCTACAGTATTAATAAAACGTCACTTGCCGAAATTTTGAATTAAATTGGAGGTTGTATGACTGTTTTATAGCCATTTACAAATAATCAACGCGTAAAAACAAAGCCAAGAATGGGAACGTCATTGAACGTCATGGGGCACCGAGCTACTAAAAAATTATGTTTGCAGACAGGAAAATGTCTAAAAATAGACTAAAATGGTTCTAGATGTTGCTGAAAATTGCCTACATGTACAAAGGACTTCAAATGGTAGTAGCTTTTTAAGAATGGAAGGATTAACATTTTTAATGATCAACTCCATCGATACCTCAATACCCTACTTAATGGACCTGATTTTTTACATACTATTAAACAAAAGATAGGAATTTAATCAGACATAAGTCATACTTCACAGTACACAATAGATTTTCCGTAAATCAATGTGTCCGCGAACTTTTTTAACAACCCTCGTATATATATATATATATATATATATATATATATATATATATATATATAAACTATATATATATATATATATATATATATAAATATATATATATAAGTCAACAAATATTACAAAGACTGAACAGATGAATCCAAATAAAAAAGAATATTTATTTACATGTAAAAATAGTTGTATGTTACAAATTGTAATAAAAAAAATCTTTTGAATGCTGCAACAATATTTTTAAGTCTTCTCAAATGTAATGAAGACATTATTATACATGACAGCTGAAAACAGTATTTCAGAGATGTGTCGATATAAATGCTTATAAAAAAAACTCTAGTATTCTATTGGGATATGAAATAAATGAGACAGTATGGGAAATGGCACAGAAGAAGTAGTTGTTTCATGATTATGAATGAACACACACGCAACATTTATCACTGGGAATGTTCAGCAAAGAGGAATAATATGCATGAACAGCAAATATAATGAAAAAGTAATACCAATTAATGCTAGAATATCAAATACATATACCTGAACATGCACATCGTAAATAAGGAATATCAAACCATATATTCGCATCTTTTACACCGTTTTGCTTGAACATTCATACATGCAGTGTATAAAATGCACATTTATTATGAGAGGAAGTCTGGAAACAAAGAATCAGCAGAGATGGCCGTTGTTCAGTGTCCATAAGTACACCTTTCTTTGCAAGATATATTATACATGTAGGTGTTTGTCTTGTTCATATATTGAGGCAGTTTTGTTTGGGTACAATTATTGCAGATAACCCTGTGTGGCCATCGTCCACAGCGGTTCAAAATTTCTCAAACACTTTCTTCACTTATGTGTTTCTTTTGTCCCATCGGAGGTTGAGCAGAAGAATATCGTGGGTCATCATCTTCCTTATACAAAATGTCTTTCCTGTATAAACAGAAAGAGAAATTCAATTTTATTATAATAGTATGATATTATAATTCTCTCTAACTAAAGAGCTGTTATATCCCCACCACCCCAGGAGATTCTACGGTGTTTTTAAATTACAGTACTCGTAGACTACACGAAAGTATTTAAATTAAAAGACGTTGAATACTAAAGTAATTTAAATCTTACCCAGCTGGCATCTCATCGCTCTCTCTGAAGTGAAAAAAGAGAGAATAATTTGCTATGTTACTAGTATGTTATGTTTTGTTATGAGACGGCATTGGCAGCACTTCTCGCCAACCTTTTCTAAATCTAAGTACTTGTTATATTGTTAACTTATTGCACTGTGAAATTTGAATATCAGAATAGTATTTATAATAGTTTTATTTATAACTGTGTAAATTTCTTGTTTTATTCGTATGTACACTATTTTCAAGAATTTCTGTGACGGCATGATTTGCATAAATATTTACTTTGTAACAATGTACATAAATCATACATGTACACTTATTTTTTAAATTCACAATATTAAAATATTTAGGAGTAATAAAATAAAATGGACTTGCATATCATATTATCTGGTTTTGATCATACAAACAAATTAACAAACCATGCCACAAAATTAAATTTGGGGACTGTATGGGAATACAAAACTTCCTCAATTTTTCTCCGAACAATAAGCATAGATAAGGTATATTCAACTTACATGTATTACCTATGATTTTTCATGAATTTACCTTTTAGTAGTTTTGTTGTTTGAGGAAGATCTTTGTCTCTTGAAGCATACAAACGCAATCACTACCACTATCAAAATGACCAGTAAAACAGCTATAACAATTCCTGCTATCGCTCCCTCATTTAATCCTTCATCTGCCGAAGCAACTGTTGTCAAAAATTTAAATAATTAAAATGAAATAAAGTTTATTAAACAAATGAAGATATCCAAATAACATTTTCTTAACATTATATAACATTTCGAAGATATTGCATTTTTTTTTTTCAAAATAAAGATTGCCAGAGGTCAAGTTCAAGGTCATAGAATCAGTAATTTGGGTATTTTTTTCTAATAGAAAATCTTATGACATCAGTGCACATGCTCAGTCATACCTCTCATGATCAAAGAGATATAAAGTATATTGACATTACGGAACAATTTTGAAAAGCAATTCAGAACCCAAATCAAGTTCAGTACGTCCGACATTTTAAAAAAAATGTAAAACGTCCAAAACATCGATTCCCTTTCTCTTATAGTTCAATAGATGCAGTGCATGACAGACAGGAGAACGCTTTACAAATTATTTTTCTAAGTTTTGCTTTGCTGTGCAGGGAACACAAAAAGGAAAAGCAAATTGCTCCATACCTTGGCAAGATCCAGTTATGGGAGGAGTCCACTCCTGTGAGCCGTCACCTTTATCAGTACACGTGTACTGTGATCTCCCTGTAAAGCGTCCTATCCTACAGCTTTGTATTGTGACAGTGCTCCCGAGACTGTAGTTATAATTGTCCTTTATACTGCGTGGAACATTCAGCAAACCACAGGAACGAACTGGAAAGAAACAGTACATGTAAATGCAGTGAGGCAGACGTGCTCTTCAGCACTCTCCCAGTACTGACAAATGAAAATTAAGTAAAAAGTTAGGAGCAGACCTAGATGTAAAATGGTGTATATGAGTATTTTTACTGTAAAGGATCTTGCAGTGAAGTTGTTTCACTAACCGATTGAATGAGATATTAAGTGTCACCTTAGCACCAGTCTAGTAAATATCCTAATACTACGGTTATTTAAAAACGCTAGAACATCTTTGAACTTTATCTTAAAAGAGGTAAAACCAATGTTGAAATGTAAAACTAAGGTTGAATAATTATCTATTTCTAAAGTTTTATTTCTTGCCTGGTTTGAGTTCGGTTTGAAGTTCCTGGAACCTCTGTGAAAATTTCAAAGATCTCTGAGCCAACGTTGTGTTTCCTGTGCTCCATAAGTCATAGTTGCATGCGGAATCTGAGAGACAAGATGGCTGTTGGTCAGACGTCGGAGTACAGAGGGAAATGTTCTTGGCAAAGACTGGGAAAGGAATGAAAGAGCTTTTCCTTTCTATGGCCCCTGTAATAAAAGTAAAGATGATTATATTTTTTTTCCAAGTCAATTTGCCTACTATAGATCAACAAGTGAAAATTTGAAGAGAATCATTCACAAATCAATTCAAGGTGGGTGATAAAATTATGTAATAAAATTATGATATACTTACAACTTAATATAAATTGCTCATAAATCTGGGTTGGAGAGGCATTCATTGGCAGAGATCCACCCTTTGCTGGAGTGAATTCATCATTTATATTATTATTCCAGGAACCAAGCAAACCGCTGCTATTGAACTACAAAAGGAAAAAAATCCAAAAAGCTTCTAATGACAACTCAGGGAAAAATAAAATTCATCGAAGATATAGCTATTTATGGAAACACATATCAAATAATTAAACAAAAACAGGTTGGCTGTTTCTTTTTGAATAAGATTTAATTCAAACAATTAACTATAAACCAGGAAGTTTGAACATACTAAATCCAGACACGACTCTATATATATCAGATTTTCATGTACTACATGTATATGGAAAGATATCATAAATCACAAGTTTTAAATTCTCTGTTGGGAATCATGAAAAATTGTAATGATGTCATTCCGAGTCTTACTTGCGGAGGGATCATTACAATAAGGCTAAGCATGTCGTTCTCCTCCGCCACCTGTATCCCTACGCCGTTTTTCACAATAATAGTGAAGTTAGATTCCTTAGTATTGGAGAGGTCATCGCTGTTCACAACAGCAGTTTCTGAATATTAAGTAAGAAATACAGTATTATCATTGAATAAACTGCATTTACAAACAATGAGACATCAATCATCAAAACTTTGAATCAATATCATTTTTTTTTCACCTTTGAAGTCCTTCCATCGTTGAGGGCCTTGATCAAAATAATGAAATTCTCCATTAACAAGAACATCTAATGTCCGTATACTCCTATCTACTTCCGGACCTTTCAGCTTGATTTCCACTACTTCATTTCTAGCCTGGACACCAACAGCAGTTAAAATGACAGACTTGGTATTCTGAGCTAAAGATTTAAAATTTTCATTTGTTATGCAAGGTTCAATCTCATTTTCCAAAGTCAAAGAAGTCTGAAAAATTTAAACTAGACATACGGTTGAATGGTGACTTTTGAAATCGCCCAACTATCTTCACATCAGTGGAATTTAGCAGCACAAAGTCCCCTTCCCCACACACGTGGTACTTCTGACCATCAAATGTCCTCACATTAGATTGTCCAAACACCATTGCTAAAACGATCAATGTATTAGTTATTGATGGTAACTGCGTTCAAACTTTGGATATTCCTTAAAAAACACTTTTTACATTGAGTGATCATTCACACCTTGATTAGGGGGAGAGTAGCCCGAACAATCTCGCGTTCCTCGTTGGTCCATATAGTAATCACAATCTTGGTAATCTGTCCAAAGACAGCAATAATAGAATGTGACCACGTCCTGAATCCAGTGAGACAGAGATGGTACGAAGCCGGGTTTAACGTATGGTGCCGCTCCCCAATCATGGCTTCTGTCCGGTGTACTTCCTTGGAAGGTATCAGCAGCAAAGCGGAGTTGTCCATTATGTCCATAGCAACACTGATTTCCAGCACCCTCTTGTCTGAAGACAAATCGTTCAAATATTAAATGACTAGATAACAAAATGAGTATTGATCTTTCATTTACTGTTGAAAAGATTACTATGGATCGGAACAAATCGACAATACCATGATGTGTACGTTATAATTACTATACTTGCTAACAGTAAGAAAATTACCAAATGGAAGACCAAAAAGACACAAAGATTTTCAAAATGTGAAAGAAACGAACTGGGATGATATTGTTAATGTGTTTTATGAAGCAAACATGTAGAGGCTACCGTGTGGGTTGGACTGCTCGAACACAGTGCACCGCGCCTAGATGAAATCGACACTTATGAGGGTCATTGCTGTAGAGATTACAGCCGACATCTGTCTGCCATCTACCGAAGTCTGCAAGAGCCAGTTGTAAGTTACATGGACAATACTCAAGGTTTTCTAACCACCTCATGTCCTTCCGATCTTCGTTGTACCACGCCACGCATTTAGTGTGTTGCCAATTACTTCCATACATCGACAACATTTTAGTGTTGACTATCCATCCCATGGGAACAACACCACTGAACATTACTCTGAGCAAAAAGAATTTACATAATGACCATGTCAGAGTCTTGCTTTATTAGTGTAAAATGGTTCATAGGTTACAATCAAATGTTTTATAATAACAAAGAACTTAAGTTAGCATATAAAGCTGCCTTACCTTCTCTCAGCAGCCATAGATTTGTCTCTCAGGGTCACCTCTACCACTCCTACTTCACATCTGGCACACTCCGCATCACAAAACACGTCTGTAGCATTAAACATAAAAGTTCTCTCACCTACACGTACATCACGATGATTCAAGGTAATTCGCTTATTCCATCCAGCCTGAATAATCATATAATAAAAATCTTTACTTTTAATAAGGAAAAAGCAACCAAATTTGTCCTACATGTTCCAAGTGATGTTAAAATAATATCAAAGTAAAATGATGGAAGTACTTTTTAAATTACCTGGAATGTAATTTTGTTTTCGATAAAACCCACAAAATTAATATCTACTATGGCGTTGGGATCGGTAGAAAGAAGGTTCGGATCCCAACTCAGCGCTAGAGTTGTGGCGTAAGTCTCGTTCCATCTCTGTCCGGGTCCATTGTCATGAAGTTTGACTTTCGTTTCTTTCGGCATTCTACTTGGATGAACTATATTTCAATAATGAAAGAATATTTTGTTTAAGATATGATCAACATTTATTGTTTTTTAAAGTGACAGGACTGAATATTTTACAATATCACTGACCTATTGTTATATCGGTGTCGTAGTAAAAGTTTGCCTTTTCGTCCAATGACAAGGCTACGTTAACTTCACCTCTCTCTAACAACATCGGGACAGAACATCTTGCTTTCATGGTGTTAATCATAGAACACTCAGAATAGGCACTTTCTGTTCCAAAACGAAGAAATATCCTATCCTCTCGTCTTAAACATGGTCCAGAAACCTCTAGCATTTCACCTCCCAACATTCCGGCAAAACCCGGAGTCACTTGCAATCGACCTGAAAAAGTCACAGTTTGCTAACACTTTTCATGTTGAATAACCATAACTAGTTTTGCAAGAACATGTGAACAGCTGTCTTAAATACATGTATTTGTACTCGTAACGCATGCTTGCTTTGTAAGTTTGATATATTGCCACGGCAAATGTGGACAGGAAAGTAGACTAGAAGAAAATTTGTTTGATAAAAATGTAAAGAAATATATTTTTACTTTGGACCTATTAAGGTAAATTCATTTTATGAATTTTCCTATTATTATTTCTGAAAGTCACTTTACCATTTAAATCATATCAATATTCAAATAAATATTTATGCCCATGTACTCTTCCTCACCATTGGGACTTAATTCCCTTTGACCATTACATCCACCTGTGAGGATCCGCTCCTGATCAATTTTATATAGGTAACGTCCAGTTATGTTGCTACCCTGTAGTGCTGCAGCATTCTGAAGTTTGGAGCTTGGCATGGCCTCACTCCAACCCCTCCCATTCCCAGCATTAAAACCAGCCTGAAATAGTTTGATCTTCTTATGCAGTTTGATCTTCTTTAGTCTTTACTAAATATACGGTTAATACTAAGCTTCATTCTGTTTATTGGTAATAATCTACTTTTGTGAAATACCTGGTACGAAGGGTTTGTTGTTATTTCGGTCTGTTGGTAGTTAAATATGGCAAAACTTTTTTTCCCATCCGACAGCAAAACTGCCTGAAATGTGTTTTTCTACAAAGAGACCATTCACCTTAGACACTGACACTTCTATAATTAATGTATATACTTCATTTACAGTAAACAAGTACTGAGGAATCGCATTACCGTGATTCTAGGGGTCAATGTACGTGGGCAACCAAAGTTTTACTGCTTGGTTCGTGGTTAACCTTTTCATGCAAACTATTCAATGAACATGTACGCTGACAAAGTTATATCCTCCTGAGAATGTAACTCGTGGGTAAGGGTAAACCATGAAATCAATGAATATTGTTCGCCAAGAACAATGTTGATTCTACTGTATAGATTTTTATGCCCCCGTATCGGAGATTCGGGGTAAATAGTTTTTGCCCTGTCCGTCCATCTGTCTGTCTGTCTGTCTGTTTGTCCGCAAAAACTATAACATTGCCCATAACTTTTGATTGGTTAAAGCTATGGCTTTCATATTTCACATGTGTATTTCTTGTGACAAAACTAGGGATGGCAACGAATATTCGAACATTCGAATATTCATTCGATGAGTTGATATTCGAATATGAATTTAAGATTCGAATATTCGGTGTTTTTCAGATTTCATAAAAAGAAGTACTGTGATTAATAAATTTTGATTAGAAAGTGCTGGAATTATCCCAGTTTAATTTTACTAGCGATCAATTTCGATCGCCTGATTTCTTTCACTTCTTTCTTGGCTTATAAATCTACTAAATAACATGTATTTTGTTTTGAGTAAGGTGTTAAAGAATTGTACAATAATGCTTTATGTATAATACAAAACGTACTTTCATAGTTTTCATTAGTTAGATACGATCGGATCTAGAATCGAGGACAATAAATGAAATCTAAGAATGTCTAAAAGGCATGAAGAGTATACTTACCAAAATAAAATTATTTGATCATTGAATGAATGTCCGATAGAATTAATCTGTAATTAATATTGCAAAGGGCTTAATTTCAGAATAAATTGTATCAAAGATTATAATCATATCTCTTATCAGGCAGTTATTACACGTATTGAAATCTGAAAAGTATACAGTTACGACTATCTTGCCTTTTGTAAGACGACTGGTTCCTCAGTTGGAGCTACTATAAATACACGTTTTATTTGTTAAAATTATACTTTTCTACATTTAAATCAATTATTTTTTTCAAACATTGACAAACATCAAATGGAATTTCTTATTGTACACCTAAAAAAGTCTTCATACAATTTTATTTCCAATATAAGTATACCTACGCTAAACCTTTCATGAAAGTAGGATGATGCATATATAAGATAAAACAGATTTTATTTATTTTATCGAATATTCGAATATATTCGAATACTTTCATTGAATTTTCGAATATGAATTATTGACAAATTTGACATCCCTAGACAAAATCTTTCTTTGGGTACCACCATATTTGACCTTTTGACCTTGCAGTTTGACCTAGTTTTGCAAAATTTTACCCAATTTTAACCTTGGCCATAACTTTTGAACAATTGAAGCTAGGGCTTTCTTACTTCACAAATGTAATCCTTGGGACAAGACCTTCCTTTGGATACCACCAACTTTGACCCTTTGACCTTGACCTTGGAGTGTGACCTACTTTTGAAAAACTTTAACATTGGCCATAACTTTTCAACAGCTAGTGCTAAGGCTTGCATACTTAACATATGTAATCCATGGGACAAGACCTTCCTTTGGATATCAACAACTTTGACCTTGACGCTTGACCTACTTTTGAAAAACTTTAACCTTAACCATAACTTTTGAACGGTTCGTGCTAAGGCTTTTATACTTCACATATGTAATCCTTTTGACAAGACCTTCCTTTGGATACCAACAACTTTGACCCTTTGACCTTGGAGTTTGACCTACTTTCGAAAAACTTTAACCTTGGCGATAACTTTTCAACAGCTGGTTCTAGGGCTTTCATACTTCACATATTTAATTCTTGTGATAAGACCTTCTTTTGGATACCTACAACTTTGACCCTTTGACCTTGGAGTTTGACCTACTTTTTGAAAACTTTAACCTTGGCCTTAACTTTTGAACCATTGGTGCTAGGGCTTTCATACTTCACATATGTAATCCTTGTGACAAGACCTTCTTTTGGATACCAACAATTATAATCCCTTGACCTTGACGTTTGACCTAATTTTGAAAAACTTTAACCTTGGTCATAACTTTTGAACAATTGGCTCTTCGGCTTTCATATTTCACCTCTATATTTCTTGTAAGAAGGCCTTTCCTTGGGCAGCATTAATTTTGACCATTTGACCTTGATGTTTGACTAACTTTTGAAAAAAACTTGAACCTTTTCCATATCTATTCAATGGTTGCTGCTAGGGTTTTCATATTTCACAGGTATATTCCTTGAGACAAGACCTTACTTTGGATACCAACATATTTGATTTGCATTTGAGAAAGTTTAACCTTTGCTATAAGTTGCCATACGGGGGCATTAGTGTTTCACAAACACATCTTGTTCAACTTATTTCAAACGTATTTACCATAAAAATCGAGCAACTGTTTAAAACATGTTTTGAACGGTTCAACGAGTTACATACTGGTAAATGCTGAACAATTTTATTTTTTTTCTTAAAGTTAGTTAAAGATAATTATGTATTTTACAGAAATGAATATGATGTGATGAACATATATTCAACAAATGACAATTACTAGACATTAAATGTTATTTGAATTATGACAAGTATATGTTGCAATGTTACTTGTGTACCCTAATGTTTGAAAAATATAATGTCAGTGAGATACGTATAAAAAACAAATTTCAAGATTTACTTAAATTACATTTTTCAACGAAACTTAATAGTCTTAAAAAGTAAAATACTTAACCCTTTACTTGACCGAACTTTGTGAATGATTTCCATGTTATTTCCATGGAATCAATAAACATGCACTATCTTTTGTGTTCAGAAATTACATTTTTTCATACTTAGCAAAATTTAACATATTATTCAAACCAATCCATTTGTATTTTTAAGAAATACTAGTAGTTCCCTTAAACTATGTAGAGAATGAGCAGCTGGATAAAGGAACAATATTTTACGTTTGTAAATCTTGCTTATAGAGGTATATAAATCAAAATCACGTTACTGGCAATGTAAATATCATGTTGAGTAATTTGACTTAGTTGTATTAGTGCAAACGTCATGTTCTCGGAGCAGTCTGGATTCTAGCATGCTACTTTTGTCTAAAAATGGAAACAGCAGACGGATTTATTACAAGGAGCTTATTCAAAGAAGTAATTTGACAGAATCTCAACAGCATTCATCAGTGCAAAACTGTGAGACATTAGTCCACATGAACGTTTTAATGTACGTGACAAACACTCAGTGACTGTACGCTCTTCTTAATGTGCAGTACTAACGGCAATAAATAAATTTTATCTCTTGCTAGGAAAGTCATAGCTAGCTGTTTTAGATTTGGAACACATTACCAATGTGTTGTATCTAAAAAGCAAACGGTAACACATTATTCAGTTTAAAATCAAAATATAATTTTTAAATTTGTTAAAACATTCCTTAGGGTGTTGATCAGGTCAACAACGTGAAATGATGTTTCTTCAGTTGTTTATTATTTATTTATAGTTGATACCAAAGATTACAATCGCAATCTCAATACATGTACATATAGTCACTAATTACTAACATAAGAATCATGCACGTTCTAATCAAACTTAGATAACTAAATGCACCACGTATGATTATGTTCTTTCCTGGAGTCGATAACATAGATCTAAGTATTTTTAATGTATTAATTTCTAACACGGAAGGTTTTGTGCTGGTATAATTTTTTTTAATATCTTGGGTAAATAAAATGCCTATAATACTTATGATACTTATAATAATTTTTCTCAAGTCGTAGTTGTTTATTAGGTCCCTTGAGTCACTAAGATGACCTACTGCGAACTGTTTTTGTCTGTAATCTTGCGTTGTGGGTCGTTCGTCGAGTGTCGGATAGCATCCATGGATAAAGAGAAATTTAAAAAAAAAAAAGAAAAAAAAAGGGAATTTCGTGGTCCCCTGAGACCTGAGGGGTGTGGCTAAAGCATAAAAAATAATGAAATCTTTTAAAGTCTTCTTCACTTCTCCTGAACGTTAAGTAGTCAAACTGTGATTGCAATAAATATTACGCCCTCTTCTAAAATTGTGAAATTCATGGGCCCAGGGTCAGGGGTTCTGGAGTTAGAATTGGGTTCTATTGATTACACGATGAAAATGCATAATTATATTCTTAAAGCTTCTTCCCTCCCCCTGTATATGTAGCAGACTGAGTGCAGGGTTATTGTGAAGGGTGCCTCTTCCAACGTCGTGAAAATCATAGCCCCCGGGTCAGGGGTTTTGGTTTTAGGGTGGGCTTTATTAATTTGTAGTGAAAAAGCATTATTCCTTTGAAAATCTTCTTCTCCTGGATGTTTAGCAAATATACTAGCAAAGATGCATCTTCCAAAGACTATGAATTTAATGGTCTCTGGCTCAGGGGTTCTGACGTGGCTCTATTGATTATATAGTGCATTGCATTTACTCTTTGAAAATCCTCTCACTTACTGGGCATCAAGGAGTCGAACAGAGTACAATGAAAGTTGTAATGAGCAAAGGATTTTTACCATATTTCTGAAATTCTGGTCCACTGGCTTAAGTGTTCTAGTGTTGGGCAAGGCTCGGTTGAATTTTGTAGTAAAATTTATACAATATTCAGAGAAGTTATTCCTTTTTTTGAGTTTCACTTGTGATGGTTAATCAATGTAAATAATGTAATTGATAAGTCAGGTAAATAAAATAATTTTCATAATACAAGGTTTTTTTAATGTACAAAATAAAAAGTACTTGTATAGTTTTTAATAGTCAGGTAGACTTTTAATTTATAGGGAAAAAATGTCAGAGAACCTTATCTTTGTACATTAAATTTCATCAAAGTCGAAGAGAGGTCAATTGGGAGGGGATGTATTGGGTTTGCTGTATGTGGTCAAATACTTTTGTTGTGTTTAGTCTGCATAGTGATAGTGGCAAATGGGAGTGAATTAGCGCTGGCAAGTACAGACAAGAACGTAGATCTATTTTATAATTTGTTATAAAATTACAAAAGTTCTAGACTAACTGTTTTGTTGATCCTTAATCATCCTCTTTCTCTTGCTTTGGGACAACATATCTTCATCTATTATTTTATCTTCTATTTCTATGGATCCATCAAAGCGTTGTATTATACTCAGGTGACCGTAAAGGCCCTTAGGCCTCTTGTTTCTCCAGGTTAGGTTGCAAGTAGGGTTTCACAGTTAAATATGTACAATGTTTCTATCATAAACTTGAACAACGATCTTTTTTAATGCATTGAACTATCTGTCACAATATTTGTAGTTGAGACTTGTTGAAATTTTTAAGGGTTCTGGCATTTTGGAGAAAACAAAGACGATGTGATAATGCTCATCAGTATAAAAACATATATAACCCTACCTGACATTTTTTTAATTTGTCGTTGCATCCAGCAACGCTGATTTGGTATAAGTCCGTTACATTCACCCAGGTGATCACAAGTGCATAAGATGGTGTAAAGTTGTAAACACCAATGAAAGCATCGTTTATATATCTACCCATGCTTTCAATGTCTCTTGAACTGGTGGAATTCAATAGTATTTGAAAATAAATCTTTCCTCCATATATGTCATTTCCATTTTGAAAGGGGGTGTTGAGGGGAACCCCACCGTAAAGGAATGTGGCAATAAATGGATAATCTTCCAGTTCGTTGGCTAATTTCTCCCGGTCAAAGGAGTAAACCTTTCCAGTGACATATTCAGCATCAGGACTGAATCCAACTATTCCATCTTTGGAAACCTTGACAAAGAAAGAATTTCAACTATGAAAATAAAAAATTATTCATGTCACATATCAAGAATTTCAAGTGCATTTGTATGATAAAATAAATGTTATCAATAGCAACGATAAATTCTTATAAATTTTTGTCCAGTTGACCAACGATGCTGAATTAAACACTCAATGAATGAACTGAAACAGGGTCACTTGTTAATATGAATATCAAACTCTCCTTAAAATACTAATTAAAAGAATAATTACGTAGAAGGCGTTATAGAGCTGTCCAAAGAATGGAAATTTTTGTCCCCCGGGAATAAGTACGGGTGTGGGCCTAGATTGTAGGGTAACTTCATTGCCGTTTCTGTAGTCGAAAAGAACCTGACCTATTTGTACAGAAGACATGTATGACATTGATGCTAATAATTTTTAAATTGCGAAAACAAAATTATTATTCCAATCTAAGAATTATAATAAAAGTAGTCAAAATTAATTTTAATAAATAAGATCTGCTAGCATGCATTATATTATACAAGGCGGGCGTAATAAATAAATAGATGTGCATTTTCATCGTTATTCCGACACAAATTATTCAAATTATCTTTTGTGCAAGATATCATGAGAGATATAATGAGAGCTGTGTTAAAAAGTAATCCAAAATGGAAGGTATAAAGCTGTACGTTACCTTTTACCTGGAATAATATGCCGGTCAGACACAGGTACACTCTAGCGTACATGGCGGCCATTGTTCCTACGTTCCGTTATCTTACTGCGCCATATTGACGAAGTAGATTTCGTTATCTGTTGTTCAACTATTTTATCATCATGGGATTGTAAACGTTTTGAAATAAGACGAGGAGTTTTTTTGAAAGAAAAACAAATCTTTTCACGTAGAATTAAGGATTTTTTTCTAATTAAACCCAGCTCAACTTCAAAGGCTTCTTTTTAGTTAGTATCAGCGCAGGTGTTGTCATCCTATATGAAAATCAGCAAACTGATTGTTGCACGTATACATCATAATAACTCAAGAGAATGCGGATTTTGATCGCACAACAGTCGTAGTAAATTGATCATTTATACAGACAGTACGGCCTTTTCCTTCAGGTAAAACAGTTAATAAAATTTTTAAGCGCTCGAACGCATTCATGTGGCGATGTTTACATCTTTCCTGGCTTGATTGAAATATGTCAAGAATATTCATGTCCATTCAAGGTAGAATTACTAAATTTACTTGTACATGATGATTCATAAGAACACAGTTTCGCCATCGTAGAATATCTGTAGCTAATAGTTGCTTATAAATCATTTCTATTGTCACACATATTTTTTGGAGGAACAAAGCCATTTGACTGAAGGTGTGTTTGTATTGAAGAACGATACACTGGAGTGTCTTGTAAATAAAGACTTTGTTTCATATCAAATCATATCAAATAAGGGGTAGACACTAAAATTTATAACAATGTGGTCAACGAGGCTAGTGGACGACAACTTTTACTAACCCTTGCAAATTATTATTTTCCCAGTTACACTTCAGAATTAATTTTTTAAGACTGACAAGGAAAGGAGGGCGGAAGAGGGACTTTTCTTAAAACAAAGACGAGTAAGTTACATGAAAACGGAGAACAAGACTGTATTCAATACAGAATTTGACAGACATTTATAATTATTTTATGTGTTAAAATAGGAGAAAGTATTAAAAATTTAAATAACCTCTCTTGGCGAAATTGATAGATTTTTGGTAAGTACTTGTACCTCACTCTTAAGTACAGGCCCCGGGATCAGAAAGCATCTTAAGCTTAAGTAATAAAAAAATATTTATGGCGCTGAAATTATTTAGTTGTTAAGCAGTCCAAAATGAAAATGCTTTCCAATTTTAAATCATCAAGCTGCTGTCATATGCAAATTAAATTTTTTAATCGGTAAAATTAATTTCATGGTATTTATGCTTGAGTTTGTGTAATATTTTTATTGCTAAGTATTTCAATTTACAATTATGGTTGTGCTGTATGTATATAATGAAAAGAATAAACTTTTTAAGGATCATACCAGTCTTGTTTTGCTTCATGCAGAGTGTAGATTCCTAGCTGAATCCATTAATTCATTCTTCATTTCCTTCTCGACCTTTGTTAAGACTTCCTTTATTAACTGGTCCAAGATTAGAAGGAATGTAAAGCTCTTGAGAATGTTATTTCTTCAAAATAAATTCCTGTCCAAAGTCTTCCATGGAATCATATCTCTTCGAATTCAATTCCTGTTGAATGTCTTCAATCCAAAGATGCTGACGCATTAGTAATTGACCAACTGAAAAAGAACATTAATGCCATTTGTTTTGAACTTAAGAAGTCGATTATAATGGGTTGGACACGTATTTAAGATGGGAAAATACATTGTAAGTGTTATTTGTGTAAAAGTCTGACCAAAGAGTGGGAAAAAAGAATAAGGACTTAAACAAAACACACAGAGAGAGAGATGAACTATCCAGAGATAATGGCATGGATATAAGCAGTAAGAAGAGCATACACATGTTGTACAAAAAACATGCTTGTTTTTGGTTCTTTTAAACTCAACAAGAAAACAGGAAAAAAGTGGTTTTTTTCATAATTACGTTTGAAATATGTATATACATATATACAAGTATGAGTAAATTGGATCTTTGTCTATATGATTTATTTTTAACGTTACAATTTTTTTTTCACCCCCTTTTTTGCCAATACAATTAAAAACAGTTCATTATTAAAAACAAAAATAGAAATAGGCTCATCATGTAATTGAATAATAAATCAATGAATTAATTAATTAATTAACTAATTTGTTTAAACATTTTTTATTGTAATAAACATACAAAATGTGGACACACACTCTCGTAAGGCTTACCACTACATGTAACTGTCAAAAAAAAATTCCACTCAAAACCGGTATTACTATTGGCACTTCTTATTCTCAACATCAGTACTGAAACAATCATTTATGATATATACGAGTACATGTACTTATAAAATAAACCCTCTTTAATAAGTACATGTTACTGAGCAAGAAAATTGAGGTTCTTTTGTTTATTCTATTTAAAACAACGATTACATTAATTTGTATACAAAGTATTAAGTAGTTTTTAAATAGTTTATGAGCATTTCATTTGCTTTCTCTTTTTGTATTCGTCTCGTCATCCAGAAAGATGCCTTCGTCCAAAGATTCGGCGACTAATGACTCCACAGAGAGCAGAGTTTCCGGAACGCTAGAAAGGCCTTTCTTGGTGCTATAGTTGTTTTCTCTGCGCAGGATATCAGTATATACTTTAGTCTCTGGAGAAGGATAACTCTGCGGTGTTGTTGGCACGTCTAAATGGCTAACTTTTGATTTCAAGTTATGTTGATCAGAGAAGGCAACATGAGTTGTTTCTGATTTTGTCCCTACAGGTCTTATCACCCCACCTACTTGTGGTCGTCGATGGGTAATCGTGCCAATTACCATCGATCTGTTGAAATCTTTAACACGTGTGACCGAAAATTTCTTGCTACCAGCAAGTTTAAGAGCACATTTTCGGAACCTTCCACTAAGAATTGCGTAGATATAAGGATTCCATGCTGCATGCAAACACAGCAGCCATGTCGTGATCATGGACAAAACAGCCGAGAATTTAAAGCTGTCTTGTTTGGAAAGAAATTGTAATTCACTTATGACGAATGGTGTCCAACAAATTATTAATGCCAATATATGTCCAAGAAGTCTTATCATAGCTTTTTGCTTGTTGTTGCTTTTTTCTGTAGATGAATGACTAAGGCCATTTCCATTAAAACTGCTCAAATCAAAATCGATCAAAGATCTAGTTGAAGCAACTGGAAAACCCATGACAGGAAGTCGACGTACGGGATCAATAACAGCGAAAGCCACAATTCCATGAGGTGGCACCGTGGTTTCACCGGAAGTTCTGTTCACATGCGCATTAAGATCTGTTATCTTTTTGGCGTGAGATCTCGCAACAGCAATGATTCTGAGGTAAGAATACCCCATTGTGATTATTGGCACTAAATACGTCATTAAAAACTGAAATATTGCATATGATAAATGAGTATTCCACTTTACATAACACAGATACAGTTTGGGATCATAGGTCACTGACCCCCAGATTCCAGTAATGCTAGGAATAGAGCTAACTAGTCCAATGACCCACGTGGAGGTCAAAGCGAGTGCAGTGGTCATCATTGGTGACCAGGAGGAGTAGCGGAGACAGTGGATGATAGAAAGGTATCGGTCCAACGCAATGACAGTGATGGTTAGTATGGAAACGACAGAGAAAAGACTTGTTGAAATGGCAGTAAAGGAACAGACCGTCTGAAATGAGAAAAGAATGCATAGTCATAGAAAAATGGATATTGTTTTTAGTGTGTTGAAGTGTTTTATACTGAGTATATCATACTATGCTGATCGTGTGACGGTACAGAAAATAGAAATGAGGTAATTTGATAAATTGCTATAGCTGGACTACTTCACATATATTTGATGACAAAACAAATCTTTCAGTTGTGCATGTAAGCAAAATATCTCAAAGCATCTAGTACAGTTAACTCATGGTTCTTTGCAAACTACTAACATAATAACTTTTTTGAGAAATTGGGATCATTCTTCCAGAGAGCATGAAAAATTTTAATATGAATCTCTGGAAAGCAGATTTTGTAAATTTTGTCTTCGAGAATGGGTTTTGTATAATAATATAATTTAACAAAATATTATCAAAAATCATATAATACGTGATATGAAACTAATGATGTACTTGACTGTAAATTAATAAACCTTCCACATAAACCAGAATTAGCACACTGGATGTCTGTATATTAATAATATAAGCTGTTTGTGTTTTAATCCCGATGGGATAGTTGTTTACACTGAATTATTGATTGCCATCACAACAAATCATCAAATGATATTAATCCTTGAAGTTTTATTGTTACTATAGGCAAGGGAAATATTGACCTTTAATATTCTAGCTTATATTGCAAACAGGTGATTATAATGTTACATTAACTGAAGTGCTGCATTGTAGAGCTACAAAGAAGTTCTGAGGTGGCCTAATAGGAACAATAATTCTTACCATCTATCACTTAACTCCCTAGAATCTCTACAATACACTTATTCTGATTAATATATTTTTATTGCTAGGTAAAAATTACCTCTATTACTACACTGTTCGGGTACGACTGTTGGAAATTAACAACTTAATGCAAATTGATATCAAATATTTACATCCAAAGAATATTTTCTCCTTTATTACTATCATTTTTTCCTTTTTTGAAACCGATTGCTGTTTATCTGGAGCAATAAATACAATTTGCTTCAAAACTAGTCAGATCTGGTATTATTAAAATTGTATCATGGCTCTTCCACCAATTTAAGTTATGGATGAATGAATATCTTACGTACTTTCACTCAGTTTATCTGAATTATTTATACAGCTATAAAAATAAACAAGAAAATGTCTATACTTTCACTGTTTACACGATAACAAACGGCTGCAACCACTGCAGAAAGTTATTTGGATGGCTGATCTGTAGGATATGGAACTTTGTCAGATCACCAATATTACATAATACAACATTATTGTAAATAATGACATTTATGTAATTTGTGATATGTATGCCCATTTTCTTGCCTTGGTTATTAATGTAATGCTAGGTGTTTCATGCCTTTGGTGTTTTTAGCTAGATCCTAAAGTTAAAGAGCAATTATCCAATCATATTGCAAGGCAGTATCACGTGATATTTAGATAGCGTCGGTTCAACGAATTTTAGTGTAAACAAGGAGGAATTTTGTTGACTTACCCACCCTCCTTCCCCATCTTTCACCTGTATAACTGTTAGCAGCATTGCTAAAATTTATATGAATGTAAATATAGATAAGTAAAGTATGGATTACGTACAAGGACTGCTGTTTTGTCTTGTAATTATTATCATTGCTGTTCTTTTTTGTTTCTGCTCTTTTTTGTTTTGTATATATTAAAATATCATTTTTGGATAGTTTGGTGAAAAGTTTTATGTTGTATTTTATTTTGTCAAAGTTTTGTAAAGTTATGTAACAGGGGAGATCACTTTGTCATATTCAGGGATTTTATAAAAGCAACTTGTGATGTCAGTATTGTCTGGATCTCCCCTTAGATTGTTTTTGTTATCATTATATAGAATGATAATATTTGATGTATTGTCATCTAATAAATGACAATATTCACACAAGACATGTGTTATGTTTTATTTGGATGGCTGATCTGTAGGATATGGAACTTTGTCAGATCACCAATATTACATAAAGTAATTTTTGTTTGTCCCTCTAGAGAATTTTTCACTCGTATGGAGACGCCACCACTTGCCGGTGGAGAGCTGCAAATTTTGACCTATGCTCGGTACTTAGGGCCATTGAGCAGTGAGGGAACTTTTTCGTGCCAGCACCGTCTGCGACATGGGACCTCGGTTTATACGGTCTCATCCCAAGGACCGGTCTCCACGTCCCACAGTGGGATTCGAACACGCGGGCGACCAAAAATAATTAACTATTTTTTTTCTGCAATGTTGCAAACGTTCATCCCCTTATAAACAAAGAAACGAAGCACTTTGTTTAAGTATAACTTTGGTAGTATTTTTCTGTCATCTTATTTATAAATATTCAAAGAAATTCAAATAATTTATCAGTTAATTAGTGATCATATTTGCGTAGGAGCAATGTAGCTAAATAGAGATATTAAGATGATCAAATATACCTCCTTTTTCCTACATTTTCCACTTTTTCTTTTACATATAGGAAAAATAAACATATATTCCTCATTTCTAAACAAGGAATTTACTAAATCACTATTTCTTTAATGATGTTTGACATAAGACTGAGAAACTGGAATAGTTTATATGAAATTATCAATAAACCACAGAAATCACTAAATATACAAACATATAAATAATTTGATGTTTAAGTTAAAAAAACATATAATCAATGATTGACTTTGAATTTATTTAGTTGCTTGAGTTACATATACAAACATATAAATTATTTGATGTTTAAGTTAAAAAAAACATAATCAATGATTAACTTTGAATTTATTTAGTTGCTTGAGTTACTTGTAACAAACAACCACAGAAAAATATACCTGACTAAAGCGCCATCCTCCATACAAGAAACTGTCTGTGAGCATCGAAATCCTAATGATTCCGTATAGTAGGTCACATACACCAAGATTAAGGAGCAACAAAGAACTCCCAGAACGTAAGCTAGGTGTTCCCAAAATTGTCAGGATGACTGTTATATTCCCGACGATACAAAGAACACACAAAATACATAAAGAAAAGACAAAGATGACGTCCCCAGCACAAATGGCACCATTGGCAGCCATCGATGAATGTCTGAAATCACTTAGAACGCCAGAACAAAACAGAACGAAGTGTTCATTTAACTGGCTATTGTCACGCTATTTCATTTCATTAGTGAATGTGTGTTTGGAAATTCTTTAGTTCTAATCCTCGACCATTAGTTAGTTTTCTATCACGTTAAGGTAAGACAGTCCGATATATACTGTTCTCTCGCTGAGAAGAAATCGACCAAAACCACGTGACGAAAACTACTGCACTTGGGGAGTTTTCAAACTGTTCTGTTTCTGCAGAAAAGGATCTTAATATCACATTGATTTCATGTGTTATAATAATTTATCATTTCTATTTATCACCTTAGGGTGATTACTTCTTTCCTTTCAAAGTTGAAAAATAATTATTATGTCGAAGTCAGTGAAATAAATCGTTAATCTTCACACTTAATCTGGTTTCAAGCAGTCTAAATATTTTATTTTTTTTCAAAAAAGAAAAAAAATCATCAAGATCCTTTTACAAATGACCTCGGATTCAGATTTTGCATCGACTCGTGATTTTGTCTTTACAGGGCTTCATTCTTCCAGATAATTATATTGTGTAATATATTTTCGCAGTAATCTTATACTAAGAGAATGAAGATGAATTTCATTATCAAATTCTTTATCTTGCTCAGTATTTAATGGTTCGTGTAGCGAGATGTAATCGAGTTACCAGCATCAATTTATTTGGGTGTTTTTTCTTGTGTCGGGATGTCGACAAAAAGAAGAATATTTATTTAGGCTTCCGTTGATTAATTGAATGAATCAGATTGATTAATTGTATGTTGTTTAACGTCTCTTTCGAGAATTTTTCACACATATAGAAACGTCACCAAATACCGGTGAAGTGCTTCAAATTTAGACCTTTACTCGACACTTAGGGCCATAGAGCAGTGAGGGTTCTTTATCTTTCCAACGCCCACCGTGACACGGGGCCTCGGTTTTTAAGGTTCTATCCGAAGGACCCGCAACTTTCACTTCAAAGTGCCGAGCGCTTGGCGAAGTAACAGTTGCTACCTATTTTTTTTATCGACTTACGTCAGTCGCGGTCGTGATTCGAACACACGACCGTCCGATCACGGAGCGATTCAGATGCCTCTAATTCTATCTATTTTAATAAGTTTTAATTTTCGTGTGGACAGTGGCTTTTAATCAAAGGAAGCCTTCATGGTAGCTCTGAATCGCCAGATAATTTTGAAGAAGCATTTTGATTGATTGCTTGTTTGATTGAATGTTCTTTTACGTAAAATTCGAAAATTTTTCGCCAAGAACCAGTTTTAAATTTAAATGGTTTCAGGGTTATTGAAAAGTGAGGATCTTTATCATGCAAACGCCAACCGTGACAGGGGGTTTCAATTTTAAGGTTTTATCCGAAAGACCCGCAACTTTCACTTCAAAGTGCGGAAGGCTTTGCAAAGGAACAGTTGGTACCTATTTTTTTTTATCAACTTAGGTCTGTCTCGAACGGGTCTTGAACCCGGGCCTTCCGATCACGGAGCAATCACTCTACCGACTGAGCTACTTACTATGAGAGCCTAATTGTAGTCGGCGCGCTCGCGCAACAGATTTTGTTTATAAAATAAATTATTGCTTATACAATTTTGTTAGCATCGGGCTCGATATTCCTTTGACCTTGTAATGCAACATCCAGAGCGATACCTATATCCCTGGAATAAAGAAGGTGACACTGAATGGGTTTACACTGCTAAAAAAAAAAAGAGCTACTTTATACTACTGCCAACCAGAATGCATATTGAAGCGACATCCACATTTTACAATTGACAAAATCAAGATCCCCGAAAAAGTCAGAAACAAATTGAAACCATGCCACTTGGAAATGCTTCAGTCTCATTTTAACATGGATTTGTAAATTGTAATCAACATGTGCAAATTCCTGAACTAAGAATCTAGTCAATAAACATAATTTAAACATGTATGTTGCTCAAAACATATAGTAATTTAAATGTGTGTGTATTTTTTTACACTGGTTTTATCAATTTTCATTGGCATCAATTTTTGTGCAGTCGGCGAATGACTCAGTATTTCGTGAACACAGGTCGTCATAAAACTTTTTGATATCCTTCTTACTTTAATGACCATCAAATTCTATTTTAATTTTCACTCTGCAAAACACAAAACCACAAAAATTAATGTTTAAGGAATGTTGATGGAACCTTTGTACATGTATTTTATATGATTGGATTTTAAATGAGGTAAGTGGTTGAGAAGACTACAATATGGGGAGGCAGGACTTTATGTATACTGGCACATGATCTGTAGTGCAATTGATCTGTTTAGGTTTACAGGCCAGCCATTTCTGTAACTAAAGTTACTTCCCTTCCCCCTCCTCAAATAAAGACAAGTTAATTTTTAGTAGTACTATTATTTTAATACGTAACAAGGAATCTTTGTCAAACACTGATACCAATGTATGGCAGCTTATTGCCATGATAATCAAGTCTCTAAAAGGAGGTTAAACTCTAGAGTCTAGGGTCATTACGTAATACCGGTAAATTTTTGTTATACATAAAGAAAATTTATAGAAACCAAAGCACTCAAATATTTTTAAATGTTATAGTTAATGTTTGGATATATAAACATATATATAGAGAGAGAGAGAAATCGAAAGTAGGCCAACTCAAAAAAATTGGGGTAAATTTCGGATTACTCTAGCCAGGGGCCTACTCTAGCACAAATTGTAGTAAGGCATGCATAGAACAAGGGGATCCGGATCCTTGGAAAATTCAAATTTATTTAAACTGACATAGTAAAATTACTAAAGCTATGCCTCGGACCTCTTCCCCTTGCGATTTGAGCCAACACTTCCTAGGGAAAAATTTCTGGATCCACCCTACAAAAAATTACAATCGGGCTTGGGCCGTCGACTTGAATACAAGCGATAATGCTTAAATTATAAAGAAAATCGACGTCATTTGAGTGTTTTAATGCAGTGTGAAAATACTTTTGTGATATTGGGATGAGATGGACGCGCTGGCGCGCCGAATACATTAACCCTATGAGAAGCATTTTGAAGCTTATCTCAAATGTTGCCTTTAAATAAAGCAAAAATATGAGCTACAATGATTTTGCAATTTCTGAAGAACAGTCTTTCGGAGAGGACCATAAGAATTGGCTGTGCAATACTTACTTACAGTATACTAATTCTGGACACTTCCTTTTTAAACTAGTAAGGCTGTTATGGCTAGAATATGGCAAGGTTGTGTACTCGTGTGCATGATTTGCATACCAAAAAATCAGAAAAATGAAGAAAGCCAAACACAATTTTAAAGCAAGTTATTTGTAAAGGAAATCTTTAAGGCAAAATTATTTTATCTAAAAAAGAACCCGTTTACGGTAGCTTAGCGGTAGGGCGTTGATTTGTGATCAATAGGCCCATGCAGGATCTCGTTCGCCGCGTATTGCCAAACCTAAGACGTTAACATAGGTAGTGACATTTCCTTCACCAAGCTCCAAGCATGAGACGTTTAAGTCACGAATCTTTCGGATGAAACCTTAAAAATTTACCGAGGTCCCGTGTCACGGTAGGCTTTGGCACTATAAATAACTTTCACTGCTCAATGGCCCTGAGTGCCGAGTAAAGGTCTAAGTTTGAAGCCCTTCATCGGCATACGTTGACGTCTCGATATGAGTGAAAGATTCTCGAATTGGACGTTAAACAACAAACAATCAATTTAAAAAAGAATTTTAAATAAGACATTTTTAATTGAAAAATGTAGGGAGAAATCATACTGCAATCTTGAAAGAATTGACTTAAAATTATAAAAGTGCGTACGAAATATAAAAATAATTATATAAATTCTCTATAAACATCATACATTTATACATCGTTCTCCTTATTGTTTAAACTGTTCACTTCGTCGACATCGGATTGATGGACGCATCAAGTCGACTTCGTGTCATCATTGCGTTATCTTATCCTGTTCACATAACGTAATGTTGGACGACATGAAGTCGACATCATGTCAACATCTTACCTTTTTTCCCGTTATCATTGTTCACATTGTTGATATTGCAGTGTTTCTAGTCCTTTCTAAGGAGGAAATTCTTCAAAATCATGTCACTTTTAATTTTTTTAAATATTCCCAAAAACCAAAATGAATTTGAATTACCATATCTATATTGGATTCCAAAACTTCATAAAAATCCTTACAAACAAGGATACATAGCGGGTTCCAGTAAGTGTTTTACCGAGCCTCTTTCTTTACTCCTTACTAAGATATTAACAGTAGTGAAGGAGAAACTTCAAGAGTACTGTGCAACAATATATTCGAAAAGTGGTGTAAATCAGATATGGATACTAAAAAATTCCAAGGAACTTTTGGTTCATTTGAAATCACAAAATTTTACCAAAATCAACAACATAAAAACTTCGACTTTTCAACTTTATATACAACTATTCCCCACGATAAATTAAAGTCCAGACTTTCTGACATCGTTGACAGCTGTTTTTTCAATAAAAATGAAACTAGTAAATTTACTTACCTTGTCACTGGTCATTTGCAAAATCACTTTGTTAAAAAACAATCTGATTGTACACACAAGTACTCTGAAGCTGACATTAAAAAGATGCTCGAGTTTCTGATTGACAATATCTATGTGATATTTGGAGACCAGGTCTTCCAACAATTTATTGGAATTATCATGGGTACCAATTGCGCCCCGTTATTAGCAGACCTATTTATTCATATGGAGCAGAATTTGTTCACAATCTTTTACGTGAAAACTTGTTGTGGCCTTCAACTCGACATTTAGATATATCGACGACGTATTGTCAATTAACAAGAGTTATTTCCATTCTTATGTCGACACGATATATCCCGGTGACCTTGAGATGAAAGATACCACAGAGTCTGACACATCTGTTTCATATTTGGATATTTTATTAGAAAAAGACGTTAATGGTAATCTAACAACAAAGTTTTATGATAACCGTGATGACGTTAACTTTTCAATAGTCAACTTCCCTTACTTATGTAGCAATATACCCTTATCACCTGCATACGGGGTTTATATCCCTCAGGTGATTCGGTACATCACAGCATGCTCTACGTATGAGCGATTTCTAAAACGAGGTAAGTTAATGACAAACAAGTTGATGTAACAAGAATATCTACAGTCTTGTTTAAAGTCAACATTCGTAAGTTCTGTGGTCGATACACTGACCTTGTCAGCAAATACAATTTATCATTAAGTCAAATGCTGACCGACTTTTTTCATACTAATTGTATGCCATTATTTACAAAACGAATTGTCGACGGAGTTTTCCGTTATTTCCCGATCATGACAAGGAGCACACGGCGGGTGTGACCGGTCGGCAGAGGATGCTCACTCCTCCATGCACCTGATTCCACTTCTGATGTTTTAGAGGTCCGTGTTAGCACTGTTCGTTATCTCCACATATTTCATGATTCAATAGCCAGGGATTTAATCAACTTAGTAACCGCTCTAAAAACCGTGATTGCATCAGGCGTTCAATTTTTTCATAAAATGGAGACTTTTATAGAAACTATAAAGCAAATTTAAAAAAAAAAAATGGTTTCAAAAATGACGTATAGCGTCTAGCTAATAAAGATGTATTGATATTGTCATAATTAGGTCATCATCAGAATAAAGTCTGCGACCACTTCTATCCTCTCAACAGATCAATAGTTAATGTGATCGTTAAAAATGTGCTCCTCCTGGAGCGTGCTTCTCAATGATGGTTAATTTCCGTTATAAACCAATTGATAATAAATGGAAAACTGGTTTCTGTGTACCACTCATTAATCATATTGTTCTGTGTGTTAAAAGAATATCCACCTTGGTTCATATAAATTCTAATGAACTGTATACCTGGTATAAAACTATGCCTCTTAGTGATTCTTAAAGTTATCATTCTTCCTAATCTTTATAGATTAAAAATTGGTTAAGAATGTTCCAGAGATAGGATACAGAGAGTTTATAATATATATGTAGGACTCCAAAGTCCGATGGTGACGCCAAAGTCCGATGGTCTCGCCAAACCCCGATGGTCTGCGCCAAACCCCGATGGTTTGACGCCGGTACGGACGCCAAAGTCCGATGGTCACGCTAAAGTCCGATGGCTCGTTTCCTATAATACACGTGCGCTAAAGTGCGATGGTCTGACACGCCAAAGTCCGATGGTGCCGAGAAACAATTAACGTTTATGACGTCACAATATTCCGACGTCAATCCTCGACGCCATAGTCCGTAATTCAAAACCATAATTTAGGATGAGTCATCGAATACAATTTGACTGATTTTACTTAATGTTTGAACTCACCTGAGTTATTAAGATTAGTCCTTGCACACCAATTGGCGGATAAGGTTTAGTGATGGGTTGCACCAACCCAAGACATTAAGGGTTAATCCTTGTACACTATTCGATTGAATAGTTTTAGTCTCGCACCCCAAAAGAGGTTTGACTGATTAGGGCTAGTTTCTCTCCCATCCAGGATATGTTACAGACGTTTTGACCGATTAGGGTTAGCCTCGCAGACATCCAAGAGATTAGGGTCAGCCTCGCACCCATCCGAAAGATTAGGGTTAGCCTCGCACCCATCAGAGAGTTAGGGTTAGCATCGCACCCATCCGAGAGATTAGGGTTAGCCTCGCACCCATCCGAGAAATAAGGGTTAGCCTCGCAACCACTTAAGAATATATGGCCAGTGGTACAATATATTCTTTGCGTTTTTTAGTGAATCATATTACTTTGGCGTTTAAATACTTAAAATTGATTTATTTTAAACCGTTTTACCTTGGCGTGGCGCGGCATCGCAATTTGGCGCAGATGTAATATGACGTTATAAACAATACTATTTTTTCTGCGCCATCGGACTTTGGCGTGTGAACCATCGGGGTTTGGCGCAGACCATCGGACTTTGGCGTGACCATCGGGCTTTGGGGTCCTACATATATATTGTATCTACCTGTACTACAGTAATGACAAACAAGAGGCCCATGGGCCACATCGCTCACCTGAGCACATTGGCTAGGCAAAAGCACAAATTAGTTCAGTATTGAAAAGACCGGGGGAGGGGGGGGGGGCTTGAATTTTAAACTACCTGATGATGCTTCCATGTCAATGTAACAAATGGCTTTGTTGTACTTGAGAAGATTTTAAAAAAAATTCCCATATATTCCTTTGTAAAAATTTGATCCCCCATTGTGGCTCCTCCCTATCCCAGGGGTCATCAGTTGAACAAACTTGAATCTACACTACCTGAGGATGCTTCCATATCAATATGACTAAACATAGCTTTTCTGTTCTTGAGAAGAAATATTTCTTCTTTATGTTCTTATGTTAAACTTTCCATTCCCCACTGGGCCCCACCCTACCCCTGCGGGTCATCATTTGAACAAAATTGAATCTACACTACCTGAGGATGCTTCCATATCAAAATGACTAATCATGGTTTGCAGTTCTTCAGAAGAAGATATTTTCCTTTATATTTCTATGTAGAACTTTGATCCTCCCTTGTGGCCCCGCCCTACCCCCGGGGGTCACGGTTTGAACAAACTTGAATCTACACTACCTGAGGATGCTTCCATATAAATATGACTCATCATGGCTTTTTGCTGTTCTTGAGAAGAAGATTTTTAAAGATTTTTCCTATATATTTCTATGTAAAACTTTGATCCTCCATTGTGGCCCCGCCCTACCCCCGGGGGTCATGGTTTTAACAAACTTGAATCTACACTACCTGAGGATGCTTCCATGTAAATATGACTCATCATGGCTTTGCTGTTCTTGAGAAGAAGATTTTTAAAGATTTTTCCTATATATTTCTATGTAAAACTTTGATCCTCCATTGTGGCCCCGCCCTACCCCTGGGGGTCATGATTTGAACAAACTTGAATCTACACTACCTGAGGATGCTTCCATATAAATATGACTCATCATGGCTTTGCTGTTCTTGAGAAGAAGATTTTTAAAGATTTTTCCTATATATTTCTATGTAAAACTTTGATCCTCCATTGTGGCCCCGCCCTACCCCCAGGGGTCATGATTTGAACAAACTTGAATCTACACTACCTGAGGATGCTTCCATATAAATATGACTCATCATGGCTTTGCTGTTCTTGAGAAGAAGATTTTTAAAGATTTTTCCTATATATTTCTATGTAAAACTTTGATCCTCCATTGTGGCCCCGCCCTACCCCCGGGGGTCATGATTTGAACAAACTTGAATCTACATTACCTGAGGATGCTTCCACATGAGTTTCATCTTTCCTGGCCCTATGGTTCTTGAGAAGAAGATTTTTAAATGATGCCATTATTTTTTCAGTAATTCCTAATTATCTCCCCTTGAAAGAGGGCATGGCCCTTCATTTGAACAAACTTGAATTCCCTTTACCCAAGGATACTTTGTGGCAAGTTTGGTTGAAATTGGCCCAGTGGTTCTTGAGAAGAAGTCGAAAATGTGAAAAGTTTACAGACGGACAGACAGACGGACGCCGGACAAAATGTGATCAGAAAAGCTCACTTGAGCTTTCAGCTCAGGTGAGCTAAAAATGTGCCATGACGTCTGTTTGTAGGCAGAGCATTTAGTTAATTTTAACTTACTCAAATTTTTTTATTAGCTAGATGCAAGGAAATAGCCGGGTTTTTGCAAAGAGGAGGCATAAGGAATGTCTTTTACAGCAATTTAACCCCCCCCCCCCCCTCGATTTATTTTTTTTTCGGAGTAGGGTGGGGGTCAAAACTCTGAGCATCACACGAAAAATGAATCACTTGGTAGTATAATGACTGAGGGAGAGCAGACGGCACCTCCTTTAAATCCGCCACTGCTCGAACACATGATGAATACTGTTTAATCGAATTCGGTTAATTATCAAAAGTTCATCAATGACTTATCACTGTACTAGTCAACAATTCTTCGTGCTAATACTGACTGTAAATTTAAATGACGACTGTCCAAAGCTCTGTCCAGTTTTTAATAATCACGTAGTGCGACTTTATCCAAGCTATATATACTCATACCATTCTATTATTCGTCGTGATTTACTTGCATTTAAATGTTTTATTTTTATTGAATTAAGAAGGATTAAAACAGCGTGTTATTCAACTATGATGTTTTAATAGAGGAGATTTTAAAGAACATTAAAAATACGTACAAAATGGATGTCAGACTATTTATACTTCCTTTCTTCTTAATTTTGGGTAAGGTAATCAAATTAATTTATCATCTGTTATAACATACATCTCAAATTCTTCAATTATTTGTTTCTTTATATCTATTCTGTAGTCATTCTTTATGAGGAGTAATGCATAGTTCATTCAAATTTTAAACTTAAAGATGGCTGCCATGGTTGTTCCTATCCACGCTTTATTCAAAACGTGACATGGCGAGACACCACTAAAGGCCGTGTTGTATACGGAGATACCAAGATGACTGGCTGGGCTTTTATGGCCTTTAGCCAGATGATCTCAGACTGGGAGTGTTACATGAAGGACGAACATTTTATTGTGTCAAGGTAACTTTACACTTGTATTATTTTCTTCTTGATCATTAACATCTGTTCTTTTCTTTCCGTGACGTGATATATGTGTAGTACAAGAGAAATTGCCTGCCTTCGACATGTCTTCATAACACACGTAACACTTTTTTATACGAATAACAAGTTCCTGAATAAAAGAAAAAAAAAATGTTGATTAAAATGTAGACTTAAGAAAGTAGTTCAGATCCCTGTGGTTTAAAATTGTTCTGCATATAATGTAAAAGGTGAAGATAACAAAAAGGGATCAATCTCAAAAATCTAGTAAAAAAATGAATTAAGAACATGGTAAAAACACTGATCCTCAGAAACATCAGAGATGAGATCAAGTGCCTATAGGGGCAGTAAGCATCCCATTTCGGACGATCACAGCCGCTGTGAGCCCTATGTATTAATCAGTAATCCATTGTCAAATTTAATATGAAAACAATGACCTAACAATTGGAATGAAACATGTTGGACAAAATAAGACCCAACGATAGAGCTGTATTTATAAGCAGTGTCATTATTCATATAACGTCATAGAATTTGCGAAATGCTGACTTTAAATGAGGGTGTTGAAATCCCTAATATAACAAGTTATTTGTCAGTAGGCTGCCTCGGTTCGAAAATTGATCGTACCCGGATCATGCTCTTTTGTATCGAATCAGCTGGGAGACATAAACACCATATGCAAGTGATAGTGTATAATACTACATAAATGAGGGAAGTTGACATTGGAAAAGCTGAAATCATCTAGTTTGTCGTACAGTTTAGCTGTTAGTTGGCCATCAGACGCGGATCCAGCCTTCGAGAACCTTAATTGACACTTTTACCTTTATTACATCGATGTATAGCATTGAAAAATATAATTATATGAAATATTTTTGTTGGTTTTAGAGTGCCCTCGCCTGGCCTTTATCGTCTATAGTCAGTAAAACAATACATTCATACCATATTGTCAAAAACAACCTTAAAATATGTATATTATTATTCAGAAAAGAAAGTAATATCTTTTCTCAACTTTGAAGAAAATATTTTGATCAGGTCAACTACAACAATCAAAGTGTTTGGAGCAGAAGTACATGCATATCTCTGCCAGAAGCTGAGTAGAATTGGCGAAAATGCTATATACTATTACGCAATGACAGGTAAAATATATGAGACATGATTTTTTTTTCTTAATTCATGACAATGGTCTTCCATATGTGCAATAGTGGTTGGAAAGTTTTTAAAGGTAATCTGAGTCAATCAGGTGACTTATTGCTATGTGTTTTGTCCGTCTGCATCCGTTGTGCATCGGTCGTAAACAATTGAACACGTTCTTCTTCTTCGGAAACCGTTCACGGTAGCTCAGTCGGTAGAGCGCTCGCTTCGTGATCGGGAGGTCGTGAGTTCGAATCTCGGCCGCGACTGACCTAAGTCGATAAAAAATGGGTAGCAACTGTTCCTTCGCCATGCGCTCGGCACTTTGAAGTGAAAGTTGCGGGTCCTTCGGATGAGACCTTAAAAACCGAGGCCCCGTGTCACGACAGGCGTTGGCACGATAAAGATCCCTCACTGCTCAATGGCCCTGAGTGCCGAGTAAAGGTCAAAATTTGAAGCCCTTCACTGGTATATGGTGACGTCTCTATATGAGTGAAATATTCTCGAATGGGACGTAAAACAACATACAATCAATCAATCTTCTTCGGAACCACAAAACCAATTTTAACCAATCTTATATATGGAATTTATGAATAATGGAAAACATAAATTGTGAAATACATGGTCTCTGCCTAAATGGGACCTGAGTAAGTAGGCAAAACTAATCAACATCAATGCAATCTTCAAAAATCGTATTCTTTACATCTAGGTATCAAACAAACTGTTACACTGTTTATAATAAACAATGAACCCTATATCATAATTTTGAAATTCATGACCCAGGGTTCATATTCGACCAGGGTGGGGCACATATTGAAATTTATTAAAAAGCGTGCATTTTTCTTCTTTATTTCTTAACTTCTAGGAGATAAACAACGTAAATATGATAGAGATTATATGAACTAAAATTTTGGTGCAAATGTCCAGACTTGTTAAAGGTGGGGACAAAGGGGTCATAGCATGAGTAACTCACGATACTCAGATGACCATCAATTAAGGCCCATGGGTATATTATTTTTAAATACTAAAATCCCATTTTTATAAACTCTCTCTCTGACAAGTTATCTGGATAGGCAGTATTAGTTCATCTTATGCATCATTTGTAGAGAAAAGGGAGATCAAATCAAGATAAATGTATCTATGATTAATAATCTTTTTGGACCGGATGTTACACTTTTTTTAATAACAAAATAATATTTTTCATTGAAGGTAGGAATATGACATTATTTACTTGATAATGATTGAATATGAAAAAAAGACTTCTTTCAGTGAAAGAACAAGGCACAAGACAAAAAAGTTAAAGAAATGTGTTCGAATGAAACTATATTTGAATTCATGATCATTGAGTTTGAAGAGGAAATAACCGCAGCTCTAACGCTTTTCAAGTTATGAATGAAATAAAAGCCTTTATTTTCCTAACTTTGGTCACGCAAATACTCCCTTGATATCATTTTATCATATACATTCATAAAGCCAAAAGTCCTCGTTTTTTTAATGACCCTCGTGCATGGAAATAGAAAGCATCGATGAAGGTCACTTTTGATATTACTATTATAAAATACTTGCAAAATATGCTCAATTGATGATAATGCCATTGCTGGAATTTTTTTCTGTGTTTTTAAATCTGACTTTTATTACTTAATATTTACCTCTGAAAATATTATTAAAACAGATGAGGAAGAGAATGCTGACAAAGAAAGAGTACATGTAACTGCAGCCCTGGTACAGGATGTCTGCACTGTCTGTAATCCGAAGTCTTCTCCAGCTGACGAGGAGTTCCGAGTTCTAGTCAGAGAAGGTATGGATTCAACAATGTTGTGGGTGTACATCAATTTTGGTGTACATCAATTTTTGTGCTTGTCAATGTAAAAAAAAATTATACCATCCCTACAGCTGTATGAAATGATTACTGGTATTTCTCTTAAACTGTTGCATCGGAAATCTTCAGGATGTTGCATTTGAAAAAGAAAAAAGAAAGATTTCATTGAGAAAACCTCAGGGATATCACAGCTAAAAACGTAATCAAAGAAAAATCATAAAGATTCTACATTTGCATATACTAATGAACACATACTAAATGTTGATAGAATACAGTAAGATCGCAAAGCGAGGTCTCCTACCTAAGAAGGTTTTTGACAAATCAAGAAGAAATATATACCTTGCAGACTGAACCAAAAATACCTTTTTCTATGCAAAATTTTGACACTGATCAATGTCAACACGATTGTTAAATATGAAAAAGACATTGATGAAAAAAGAAAGAACTGCGAACGATATTATTGTTCTCCCGCCTACCTCCAAGTCAATTTTCAAAAGTTAAGATATTCGAATGATTTTTAATATTTATATTGATATTTATATGGATTTTCATAAAACATTACTTCTTTGGGAAAACAACGAGAGATAACTCTAAAATTTTGGTAAAACTCGTGTTTTTCACTATAGAAATCAACGGAAAACGGAAAATATTTTTGAAACATCTTCCCCCCCCCCCCCCCCGTGAAACAAAAATTCCTTTTTACGGGTAATATGGACTGTCATTTCACAAATTCATACCAAAGCTTTTTGTGTTTCACGGGGGGGGGGGGGGGGGGGGGGAACATATGTTTATATACAAAAAACGACAAAAATGCTTATTTTTTCAGCAATTTCTAAGTGCTTTACAACTGAAACATTATATTTTACTAATATATATTCTTAATTTTATATGCATAAAACATAAGAAAAGATTTAAGAAACATTTATTCATATCCAAGACTATTTCAGAATATGGTGTTGCTTTATAGCCCGATTTCAGTGGAAATATCGTCTACCCCCCTTATTTCAAGAGCTGGAATTAGGGATATTTTATTATATAGCACTGGAATTAAAATAATTAATCAATTACCATTGAACTGTTCTTTGTATTAAACAAAGATTTTATGGCCAAATTGTCATCAATATTGAAATAAATGGTTGTAAAATGTAGGCGGGAATCGGGAGTTACCGTGCGTAGTTCTTTCATTAAGCCACCTTTAAAATGCCCTCTCCCGACTCAAGATGAAAAAATTGGGTCGGTAGGTAGGTAAAAAAAAATTTCTTAGAAAATTTCAATTTCAATGCTAAATTTTTAAGTCGGGCTATTTTTAGCCAGCCGGTTGGGAGAGGCAACTAAACAATTTTTTAAAGATGGCCTTAAGCAACAGTATTCCAACAGAAAATATAACTTTTTTGTCCACATTCTGATTGGTCTTTTCTTCGTTGTACCTATATGTATATCCCAGAAAAAATGATTTAATTAAAGATAATCGGACAATAATTGTTGATAAACATGTATCTTTAAAGGTACGCAAATCGACCCATCTTTAATAGAAGCGCCAGTTGTTGGATGTAATCCATGTGTTCTTCAGTGTGATTTACCAGGCTCTCCGCCAATACCTACCACAACAACAAACAAACCAACAGGAAAGACGGTTTTTAAAATAAAAAAGGAAAACCCATCAATCAAACCTTCCGGTAAAAACAAAATAAAGAAGAAATCTAATGCTGGACTCGTCGTTGGGATTGTAATTTCGGTTTTAGCCCTTGTATCTATTGGAGTAGGAGCTGCAGTTTGGTACTTCCGGTTTAGAAAATAAAAATATTGCTTATTATGTTTTTATTATGACTATTTTATGGTGTCGCAAGTTAAATAGTTTATATACAACACTGTAGACAAATGACCTAATCAGAAATTTCATAATTTTTTTCTTCGCCAACTTTACAGGTTGTTCATCATTCGAATAGGTGACATCACCTATTCAAAAAAGTGATATCCTCATTCAAATTTAGTAAATGATGTCAAACTACTCGAGTAGGTGATATCATTTTTTTTAATTTTCGAATAGGTGATATCATCTTTTCGAATTGGTGATATCACCTTTTCGAAATAAATAGGTGGTATCACTTATTCGAATAGTGATATCCCCTATTCGAATTGAATAGGTAATATTACTTTTACAAAAATGTTATATCACATATTCGTTTTGAATTGGTAATATCACTTATTCGAATAAGTGATATCACCTATTTGCATTTCTTTCAACATTAAATAATAAATGGTCCATTCTTCAAGAAAATCTAGCTTCAATGCAAAGAAAAGGGATTGAATTTTAAAAGGCTTTTGATTAACAATTTTATTTTCTAAGCATCGATTTAAATATGATGATATTGATTTCGGTACAATCTTTTTTTTTTTAGCTCTACTGGTCAGACCTGATGAGCTTATGCGATAGTAAGGCGGCCGTCGTCCGTCTGCCCCTCCGTCTGTCTGTGAACAATTTTTCAAAACGCTACTCCTCATACAGTTTTGGTCCGATTTCAATATAACTTGGTAAACAAGTACACCACACTAATTTAATGCATCGGTTTTTGATTTCTATGAACGATGTTGCCATGGTTACTAAAAATAGAAATTTCTGTGAATTTACTTTAAAAAGCTATTCCTGCTACAGTTTTGGTCTGATTTCAATATAATTTGGCATGCAAGTAGACTGCACTACGACACATAATTTAGTGCATATGTCTTTGATTATGATCAACGGTGTTGTCATGGTTACTAAAAATAGAAATTTCTGTAAAATCCCTTTAAAACATTACTCTTGCTACTGTTTTGGTCTGATTTCAATCAAATTTGGCACACAATTAGACTACACTACGATACATAATAGTTTATATCGGTTTTTGATTTCAGTGAATGGTGTTGCCATGGTTACTAAAAATAGAAATTACTGTGAAATACTGAAATTCTGTGAAAACGCTACTCATCCTTCAGTTTTAGTTTGATTTCAATATAATTTGGTACACAAGTAGACTGTATTAAGATACATAATTATATTGATTGCTGCGTGTTGCAAAGTTTCAAATCCAAGTGCTACTTTTCTTTTGTTATACGTACAGACCAGTAAAGCTACAGTCTCAACAGAGACTTCTGGTTTTAAAAAAAAGATTGTATAAGAATCTCTGGACTTGCTGAACTATTTGAATAAGTTCTGTCACTTTCTTTTTCAAAATGAGTAGGTGTTATCACCTATTCGAATAGATATCACCTATTTGATTTAAATAGTGATATCACAATAGTATTTGATATTTCAAATCAAATAGATGATGTCATTAATTCTAATAGATGATATCACATATTCGAAAAAGTAATGCCTTTTATTCAAATAAATGGTATCATCAGATGAAATTGGTGATATCACTTATTCGAATAGGTGATATCACCCATTCAGAAGCTGAATTTTGATATCACCAATTCGATTAGGTGGTTTCACCATTTTAATAGGTGATACCACCTATTCGAATAGATGATATCACTTAAGGAGGGATTCTTGTCTGGTTTTTGACTTAATGAAATACTCAAAGTATATTTGCTTACATGTCTTTTATAATTAGATGTTAAGGGTTTTAAAGATCATATTTTTCTTTCTTTTTCATAGTTGTACAATTTGATTGATTGATTGTATATTGTTTTACGTCTGTACAATTTGAAATAGTAATGGTAAACCGACTTTGAAATCTAGCAGGGACTGTATTTTTGGCGGAATAGCGGCGTATGAAAATCTCTTTTTCTGCTTCTCAAAATTACTACAGAACAATGAATTTAAAAGGCAATTTTAAAAAAATCAAAGGCTTACGGAAATTTTTGAAGTAGCTGAAATTGATAATAATGGACTAAAGTGTTAAAATATATCAAATAAATATGACTTTCTAGGCAAATGACAATCTTAAAGCCTTTGAAAGCTAAGGCTTCTAAGAACAGATTCAAGTAAAAATTCAGTAAAAATGTTTTTTTTCTCTCTTAATAAACGGTCAAAACTTTTGGTTTTTGTATCATTTTGTACCTTAACATGACTACTTTACCATATGTAAAAATAATATAATTTTGAATATTCAAAGCATATTAAATTAGCTAATATTCCCTTAAAAAAATTGATAAAGATAGAGGAAATTCGGGTTACTAAATATCTATTTAGTTTAACTGTTTATCTCCATTTGATATTATCATCTGGTAGACCATTTGTTGTATCAACTTTTTATGCAAAAAGAACAAGATGAAATCTTTCATCTTATAAATAAGCATTACATGATTAGCAACAATATTGTTTTTAATCTTAATGACAAGGAAAATATAATGACCTTGACCTTTTAATTAAACAGTCAAATTTAATGTAATTTATGTCATCACTTATTGTCTTCTTCAATCTGTGACAATTTCATTAATATTTAGATATGATAAACACGGAAGAATACATCCTTAATGACAGTAAACACCAAAAATGCCCGTTATAAGGGTATCAGTAATTTTGATTTACAGTTCTAGTACATTCCAAAGAAAAACGAAAAGTGATCTATCTTTTTAAGCCTTTAAACATTACAAATTCTGAGCAGTTTAAAAACAATGTAATAACTGCCGTTTTTATAGAGAATTAAAACAAGTTTATTTAGTTTTGGATTTATAATTGATAAACTAACACATGTAATAACTTTACAAAACTGAAATAAAAACTTGGATTAGAAAACTTGAGTTTTGTTCTTAATACAGCCAAGGGAACATGTACTGCTAAATAATGCTTAATATAGGTATGGAACCGGGAGTAGAGACTCACTCTGAATATGTTATATTGGAGTTTGAGATATATTCAATGTTATTTATCTACTGTTTTTATGTTAAATTCATTTCTGAATTTTGTATAAGATTGAATGAATGAAAGAAATAAAAAACTTTAACTTTGTATTTTCCAGTAAAGATAAACCGTTCACGGTAGCTCAGTCGGTAGAGCGCTCGCTCCGTGATCGGGAGGTCGTGATTTCGAATCTCGGCCGCGACAGACCTAAGTCGATAAAAAATAGGTAGCAACTGTTCCTTCGCCATGCGCTCGGCACTTTGGAGTGAAAGTTGCGGGTCTTTCGGATGAGACCTTAAAAACCGAGGCCCCGTGTCACGGCAGGCGTTGGCACGATAAAGATCCCTCACTGCTCAATGGCCCTAAGTGCCGAGTAAAGGTCAAAATTTGAAGCCCTTCACCGGTATATGGTGACGTCTCTATATGAGTGAAAAATTCTCGAATGGGACGTAAAAACAACATACAATCAATCAATCAATCAATCCAGTAAAGATAAAATTTGTAGTTTTTACTGGGACGGGTAATACCGGTATTTACCACTGGTAATTCCCAACACTGGTATTTCCTGACCAACCCCTGCCCCAACTCTAACTCAAACGCAAGTGACTATGATTTGCAGACACTTGGTTCTTATCTACATTAGGATATCATCTACATTAGGATGCTTGGAAATTGATTTGAGAAACAGAAGCTTTAATTGCTTGCTCCCGAAAGGAAGCACTCTGAAAGAATCTTTCGTTACACTCCCTTAGTCTTATATCGACTGATTGCAGCCCTTACTCTGGCCCATCCATCGTCCATCATGTCATTTCAACCTATTTTGGTTTTTCGGTTCTTTAAAAGATTTACTAATATATTCCTAGGTAAACATTTGACTCATATGGTGGTCAACTAAATCAAAGGGGCCATGATGTGAACAAATTCGAGTCTGCATTATATACAGAAACATACACAAAAGTTATAGTTTTCTAGCCTGGTTGTTCCTGGAAATATTTATACATAACTATACCCTAAGGTTATAGTAGCTCATTCATTACAGCGCTTGCTCTGTGATGGGAAGGTCGTGGGTTCAAGCCCCGGCCACAACGAACCAAGTCGATAAAAATAAGTATCTGTTCCTTCACCAAGCGCTACACACTAGAAGTGAAAGTTGCGGGTCTTTTGCATGAGACCTTAAAAACCGAAGCCCCGTGTCATGGTAAGCGTTGGCATGATAAAGATCCCTCACTGCTCAATGACCCTGATTGCCGATTAAAGGTCAAAATTTGAGACATCTCTATGTGAGTGAAAATTAACTTCTCGAATGGGGCGTAAAACAACATACAATCAATCAATCAATCATGACTACACCTTCATTTTTAAATAGCCCACTGGATTTAGAGTTTTTTAAGTGCAAGTGAGCTGTGCTTATCAAGTTTGTCTGGCATCCACCCGTCTGCCCGTCAGCCAGTTTGTCCAAATCTTTGCAAGTACATTTTCACAGCTTTTGCTTCTTTGGAAAGACTGGAACGAAATTCAAGCGACCCGGGGTCTCTAAACACTTGTAAAATAAAAAAAAAACCTCAAACATTTGCAAGACAAAAAATTATTATATCAGTTTTGAATTTGCAAGCATTCGTTTATCCCCTTCATGAAAGGAGGTCACTGACTCTAATAGAAATTCATAGATTCCTTTGGTAGAACAAGGCTTTAATTTGTTTAATTGACAAATAGGTACTATTTATATTTACTGATCAAAATTGGTAAAAATGGCCTTTGACCTAGTTTTACCAAGATAAGAGGTTTCATTTATTCAAATGTTCATTGCTTAGAAAGAAAAATACTCATGTGCGCGCTGTGGCACATTGGCCTCTTGAAAACTATATTTCCTTATCACGAGATAATGCTTTCCTCTTTAAAAAACTTTTTCAACCGACAGTCGTTTTTTCAAGTACTTTAGCTCACCTGAGCTGAAAGCTCAAGTGAGCTTTTGTGATCACATTTTGTACGGCGTTGTCTAACAGTAAACTTTTTAAATTTTCGATTTCTTCTCAAGAACCGCTGGGCCAATTTCAAACAAACTTGCCACAAAGCATTCTTAATTGATTGATTGATTGTATATTGTTTAACGTCCCATTCGAGAATATTTCACTCATATAGAGAGTTTTTAAGAGAGTTACCGTATGTCGGTGAAGGGCTTCAAATTTAGACCTATACTCGGCACTTAGGACCATTGAGGGTTCTTTAACGTGCCAATGCCTACCGTGACCTCGGTTTTTAAGGTCTCATCCGAAATACCCGTGACTTTTACTTCTAGTACCGGACGCTTGGCGAAGGAACAGTTATTACCTATGTTTACGTCATATGGCGTACTTGTTTCTCAGCCGGCGGTGAGCCCGGCGAAACGGCTGTGTTACTTTTTTCTGAGCCGGGGTTGCGCGCGCAGTTCCGGCATACGCCGCCTCTTTCGAACCGGCTACAATCGGCTGCTGAAAATTAAAGATGGCGTCAGATGAACAGTACGTATAAGTTGCAGGATATTTTTTCCTAATATTTTGGATTGTGTTGTAATAACAAGCAATTTATTTGTACTCAAAATCACATAAACATAGTCATTTTAACGAAAAAAAAAATTATAGCATCTTTTCTGCAATTCTTAAAGGTGTAAAACGATGCAGCAGAGTTGTAGAAAATTTTATTTGATGTTCTGTTTTAATTATCTTGACAGCCAAAGTGGATCTAAAACTTAAATCAAATAAAAGTTTTGGGGGGAGAAAAGATCAAAATAATGAAATCAGAATCTTATTTCTTTCTAAAAAAATACTTATTCTGTAAATAGAGCTATATCATATAATTATCTTTTTTGTAGTTACAAGGATTTCAAGGTATCACTACAATATGGACAAGTTGTTACAGTCCAAGTGTCTCCAGAACTTTTGGAATACTATAATTCCACAGGTTTGGTTCCATCAAGAGTTTTACTGAATTTTTATTACAAACAAGAATGCCTCATTATCAAGACTTATTTTAAATTGGAAATACAGCATTTATACTTCAAAATATTTGTATGTTATGGTATTTTAAATCGTATGAATGTTTAGATCCTGATGCTAAAAGTTTGGCTCAAACCCTAATTGTGCAAGCCGCTATGGAAAAACCGAGAAATAAGCAAAGTGAAGAAGTCCATGGACATGATTACCAAGAATCTAGTGATGAGCTGCCTGGTATGATGGTTATGATGATGTACTTGTGCATTTTTCATGAGCATAATTTTTACTTCAATCATAAGATTTATCCTTGTTTCTCTTTATGATATATAAAACTGTTCTATAATTTGTGTTTTTGTATAGATACATTTTTATTTCAAGACTAACTGATTTTACTGGTTTTATAGAAATTCCACCGACAGACACTGCTAGTGTATCCGGTGTCTCCTCGCCTACACCAACGTCACCTACTGGATGGCCAGAGAAAGCAGAAAATTGTTTGCTAGAGTATTTTGGGGAACTCGGCAAACTGCCAGTAAAAAATAAGTGGCTGAAATCGCAGACAAAATGAAAGACATTGGATATAATTATACCTCTGAGCAGTGTCGTCTGAAGATCAAATCACTAAAAGAAAGGCATGCTAGATTATCAAAAAAGAGAAGTAAATCAGGGGAGGGTGCTGTAGAGGATGTCCTGGAAGATAAGTTGGCCGAGCCGTTTTCTACTCCAGACTGCAAGCCAGTATATATCTCTGAATCTGGTAGGTGAAGCTATAAAAAATCTTTTTATAAAAATCTCTCAGTTTTAATTTTTGCAATAGTATTGGTGTATCCTGTATCATTATTTTTTTCTTTGTACTATCTACATGTATTTCCAATAAATGAATCCTGATTCTCAGAGTTCCAGTGACACAAGTGATGAGAAGTTGCAACCCATTTTAAAGAAAGTTAAAAAGTGTGGTAAGTAATTGTATTTGTAACTGGTTAAGAATCAATAAACTACTTGTTTTTCAAAGATTAATTATATTAACATCTTGCATATGGAACAGCATAAAAACCTAAATTTATTTTCAAAATTCTGGGTAGATAAAAGTCATATATTCCCTGAGACGACCGGTGCATCCAAGTGGCTTGGGGGTGCATAGCTGAATGTTACTGCAGAGAAGGACTGCTAAATCTTCTGTTGAAACGTCAGACTGGTTCTTTCTTGAAAAATCAATGGTCTTTTACTAAAGTTTCATACTTGCTTATATCCCCGGAAACTACTCCTAGACACATTGTAGTGGTACAAGAGAAACTCACGGAGTTCAAATTTCACCCAGGTTGCAAAAATGGATGTTAGATTAATGGTATATTTTTTCAATTTCAAAAATGTATAATATTGCAAAGAGTAAATCAAATGAATTACATTAATTGATAATTACATTAATAATTTTTTAGATAAAAAGCCAACTGTCAGTGTGATTGATATATTGGAAAAGGCAGAGCAAGACTCAGAGGAAAGGCACAAAGAAAAAATGGAAATGATGAAAGGATTTTTGGACATAACGTCAAAGATGGTAAAAAATGAATGAAGGACATGCCTTTGTAACAAACTGAAATGACAATTTTTAGTCAGAAAATTGTTATTATTATTCTTATTATTATCTCTGCAAGTTCCAAAGCAGCATTATTAATAGTTATTTCCAAAGTGCCAAGTACATGTGTCAATTATTGTTATGAATTATTTGATTAATGAAGATTTTTAATTTTTATTATTTTCAAGTTTTAGAAACTCCTGTGAGTATTCTGCTTCATTTATAGCTCTTGTGAGCTTGAAGCCCTAAGAACTCTTGTTTATTGTTGTTTGTTATCAATGTTATTTTCAAAATAAGCAAGTATTCTGTTTTAACCAAGTTTGCATAGACAATGTTCAGTTACACAGTCTGTTTGTAATGGTAATTCTCTTCAAAGGTCCTTGTGCATCGGTTTCTGCCATCTGCATTGGATTTACATCCTGTTAATGTTTAGATTTTCATCTAGGTCAAGAAAGTCTTCTAGTTCCTCACCACTACAAATGCACACATTGTAAAGAATGCATGCTGCCTGTATAATTTCACAAGTATTCTTGATTGTCCTATTATAAATGTATTTCAATCTGTGGAAGCGACCTTTCAGCAGTCCAAATGCCCGCTCAATAATTTGTCTTTTCGATGAGAGACATTTGTTAAAATAGGTCTGCTGTCTGGAAAGGTGCCCCGTATCTCTGTAAGGGGTTAAAAGCCAGACTCTTAAAGGGTAAGCTGCGTCTCCAAGCAGGTGAAACCGGCCAAAATCACATTTTTGGTAACCTGAATCCCACACGTCAGAATTTTTCAAAACTTTGGCATCATGGACTCTGCCAGGCCAACCAATATTGGTATGGATAAATTGCATATCATCTTTACATATGCCTTGAAGTATAACTGAGTGAAATCTTTTCCTGTTGTAATACGATTGGGGGTTTTCTGAAGGTGGTTCAATTTGGATATGAGATCCATCTATGGCTCCAATGATTCCAGGGAACTCATGGACACCCTTGTCATTGAAGTTGGTAGCAATCATATCCATTTCTGTTACACTTGGCCATGTTATAAATTTACACAATAGATTGTTAATTATACATTTAATCACTAGATTTTTATGCTTTAGAAAAGTGTATTCTGTCAACCCGAATCTATCACTAATTTCCATAGTATTTTCTTGGGATGCTAAGTACCGTAATGTCATCAAAATTTTCTTCTCAGTCTGGATTTCCTCTCTGCCTCCACTGTACTCCTTTTTTTCTAAGCTCTCGACTTCGACCAAGGTGCTGACACAATATTTCAGCGGTACCTCTTGAAACTCTAAAGAATCTCTTAAACGTATCTGGGAGAAACAACGGAACAGTTGTTTCAAAGAAGTTTTGAGTTTTCATTCTTGTCCTTCGTACCCTGCAGAGAGAGAGAAAAAAGAAAATCATGATTTCATAAACAGTAATAACCGGAATGACATGTACAATTGACTTTATTTTTAATAAATAACACTGAAAATGCATGCTAGGGTATATTTTTAATTAAGAATGCCTCACCTTCGATCAAGAATTAAGGCCTTTGTAGGCAAAGTAAAAGTGAACTCGTCATCCTCAAGCTGATCCAACAAGAAAGGAATTAAACAAAAAAAATATTTCGTTGTTGTCAGCCATATTTATTAATTCGCCGGTTTCAGTCGAATCACTTTTTTCTACGACAGCTTCCGGCGTGAGTCGGTTCGAAAAAATGTTCAGAAACAAGTACGCCCATAGGTTTCATGCGGCGCGGCGAACGAGAATCGTACCCGGGCCTCCCGATCACGAAGCGAGCGCCCTACCAATAGGCTTCCGTGACCGGTGCATTCTTAATTGAAGATTAAGTGTTTTTAAATGACAAGCCACGTCCTCCATCAAGGGTAGATAATTAGTATATGGAGAAAGTTAATGGCATCTTTCAAGATCTTCCTTTACAGAACCATTGGGCCAGGAGTTATGGAAACATCCTCAATGTAGATTCACGTTTGTTCAAATCATGACTCCCGAAGGTAAGGTGGAAACACAATAGGTTATCAAAGTTTTACATAAAAATATATAGGGAGAAAAAAATCTGCCAACGAAGAACAGCAGGGCCAGTTTGACTCGGGTGAGTGTTGTGGCCTATGGGGCTTTTGTTTTAATGGTTTCTTTGCAATATTAAAATGTAAAAAGTTATGTTCTTTCAACCTAACTTTGTTAAACGCGGAGAAACTTGGGAAAAAATGGGTTTGAAGTCTTCACATACTAGTGCCTCTTACACGTGTCCCTCGTGCGTGTCATCAGTTCTAACTATATCAACATATTTACTAAAAAGTACGTTACAGCAAAAATACAATTTTTTTTAAAAAAGTATCGCTGACGTATAAGCATTCATTACAGATTCCTTAGGCAGTGATTGCGTGCAACTTATGTATATTATTCATTAGGACTTTTACTGATTTTTTTTCTTTCAGTAACAAAACCTTAGGGATTCATTAAGAGGATAAGAATTACTAAGTTTAAATGTCGGAACTAATCACGAGATAACTTCGTGTATTTTGCCACGCTTCTGGTTATTTTTCCGTTCTTAAAACCTGAATTGTTAGAATGCTGCTCGTGACTGGCCTAGCTAGGTCGAGGGAAAGGCAAACTCATTAAGCTAAAATGCAGTAATGTTGTCGAACGATTTTGATTGCAGGTGATTCGAAAAAAAAAGATCCGAAGGCGGAATAGTCCTCGTGAGTATTTATTTCTTTCATTTTACAAATATAACTAGGTTTTCGGCATTTTGCCTTCCGTCTTGGGCTTTTTTGTATTATTATTTTTTATTGAATACATTTAATAGAAAAATGTATTTTTCTGAAAATTTTCAAGTTGTTTTGTAATTCTTTCGAGGATGCAACTGGATAAACTAGTATGTTTGATTCTTGGAAGGATTCTATTAAAATGTTATCACTATTTTAAATGTTCTTTCGAACACTAACGTCTGAATGTGCAAAACTGTCAAGGCCATTTGTGGATTTTGCGGTCTGCTGGACAATGATATATCGGTAATGATAAAGACAGTTAAGCTTACAAGTTAGTTCAAGGAACTTCCCGTAATCATCTTTTTCTTCTCCAATTGAGCTTCTTTCCTTTTCTTCAAAAATAAGGATCAAATTAACACTTGGTCTTTCACAGTTGTAAAGAATTTTATACATCGAAAACAGTTGCTTTCTTCCGGAAAAAAAAATGTATTTTGAAAATCATTTTCTCTCAGATTTTCAGTTCATCCCAGGCAGAATACATGTACTTAGAGATTTTTTTTGTTTTGTGAAAATAAATATGTTAAGGTCATGGATTCTAAAACATGATAGACACAAACAGTAAAAGCAGCGTCTACATGGGTATACTAAGGAGCTTAAATGTTCTGATCCACGGCTTACACAGAAGTTTGCTTAGAATCCCTCACAATCTGCACGTTGTACTGACGTTGTTTCTATTCTGTTGTCGTAAATATTCCATAATACCTTCTTTCCAGAACATTGAAATTGCATCAGGTATATAAATTAATGTTTCTTTTAATCTAGGGATATTCCGTTTAATTTACGAGATATCTACGCTGAAGGATCCAAAACAAGATGCCCATGTGTCATGATGATCACCTGAGTATCATGAGTTTTTCAGGTTATGACCAGGACTTATGTTCAAAAGCATTTACCGTTTAGTGAGAATTATGTTATCATTATCACATTCATGAAGCATATCTGCTAGAATTTCTGAAGTAAAGAAGATATGGAATACTGCATAATAAATTCCAATACATGACCTACTCAGTCCCATTGGTCAGAGGGGACATAAATATAATTTTTGTAGAGAGCTAGCTGATCACCAATTTTCCGGCTACAAATCCATATATAATGAAGGTTTTTAAAGATCTAGTTACCAACTTTAATTACCCCTACCTGAGGCCTGTGCCATGGCCTTAGGGTCATGAATTTTAAAATTTTGATGGGGGGCTTTGTATTTTTTATAATAATGCAAACAGTATATCTGCCAAATGCCCATAAATTAATAAAATATTTTACAGATGTATTGTATTTCAAATATATGACAAACTTAACCCATGCATGCACCATGGGTATTAATTTTAAAATTTTGGTAGCGGACTAAGTGTTTCAATCATATTAACAGTTTGCCTGCTAAATGCTCATGAGCAGAGAAATTTCAAAGATGTAATAAATGACTAACTAAGCCCCCCCCCCCCCCCCCCCAAGGCCTGAACTTAATCCAGGTATCACGAATTTCACAATTCTGCTTAAAATTCGAGTATTCATTATAATCATGCAAAGAGTTTGCAATTGGCTACTTGATTTTTTTGCACAAGATCTAATGCATTTTCGATATATGACCAGGTTAGCACCACCCTAAAGCGTGAACCCTGATTCTATGGGTCATAAATTTCACAATTTCATAGAGAACTCGATGCATTTTATAATCAATCCAACAGTTTGACTGCTTAAATTTCAGGAGAAGAAAGATTTAAGGAGGAAGATTTATGAAGATTGCATTAATTTTGATGATTTTTGCCCCATCTCTCATGTCCTGGGAGGCAGAGACCGCAAAATGCATATTTTTTGCTCGCCTTTGCTCATAGTTGCTATGTACCAAAATTATTAACTAATTAAAATTTATTCAGTTCCAGAGAAAAGGCTGAAAATCTTCAGTTGTTTACGGACGACGCACGATGAAGGAGGATACCAGACAGCAATAATTCACCTGAATTACTCATGATCTAATAAAAGCTTCTAGTAGAATATCTGGAAACCACCCTTGTTCTATGAAAAAACATGACGAAAAATACGTTAACAAAATAAATTGAGACCAATAAAATACTGAAAACTAAGTAATTGTGAAATTGATAGGATCCAGTGACCATGAACAACAAAGATAACGAGTGTGCGAAATGTCAGCAAAAATCAACATCACAATAAAAATATCTACAATTTATTTAGGATGACGTGTAAAAAAAGTGCTAACTTACAGTAATAGTCCTGAAAACAAATTGTCCGTTGTTAGTTTTACAGCTGAGCTGAATTTTAGTATGGTGTAAACAAATGAGATATGTCGAGTCCACCGATGTAGAATAGCTTCAGCTCTCTGCTTGAGAATATTCGGTCAGATAAAGCAGAGAGCTTCAGATCCATCCAAGCGTTGTAAAAAAAAACTTTCGATCTACGCCGCCGCTTTTTTGTCGCTTGCTTCAGGTCACCTTAGAGGAAAAATTCAGTTTTTCAAGTCAGAACCATTTTTAAGTGGCAGGTTTTGCGAAATTCTTGAAGAAACATTTTTGCTTCTGACACAGTAACACTAAGTACATTTTCTCCTTCAAATATAACTTGTTTTGTGTCTTCTAATTCAAGTTAATGGCCAGATGTATTCCTGGACAAGCTATTGTAAGATGCACACCAACGAATTTAAAATACCCAACCTAAAAGGCAATGAATCTAAACCAACTGCAATAAAGAGGACCATAATGAACTTCACAATTCCTTACTAAGCAATTGTAATTTGCAAGGTGGTTAAAATATTTTAAAATAAGTGATTGCTTATTTTTGTGTGATGCTATCATTTCTTTCGATAGAATTTTATCGTCGCATGGTCGTAAAGAGTATTAGTTCAGACTATTAATTGCATTCGAAGTTCAGACAAGATAATCCATGCCTTGTGCGTGTGAGCAAACTGGAAAATTTTGGTTTGGTTTGAAATTTATAACTTTAGCTCATTACTTTCACGAAGGCCATTTCATTGTGGTGCTTTACTTTCATGGAATCTGTTTTCGTTTTAATTTATAACATGTGCTTCTTTTTCTAGTAATTATTCTCAAAATATGTACATTTGATCTCTATACAGTCGTAATTTTCTCTATTCACAAAATTTACAACATGATATAAACATAAATATTTTACCTTTATAAATTGCATTTATTTTTTTCTTTAAGTTTATCGCGGAAATAAAATTTACAGTAAAACGTACCATTTACACATTCTACAAGATTCTTGTAATA